CAGCAAATGAAGCGATAGCAGTCAGCAGCACCAGAGCAGCCAGACGTGGCTCTTCACCTGACATAGGCAGGCACTGGGATTCCTGTCACAGGCTGTTGTGAAAGCAAAACGTGAGCATCACAGGGGTGTCCGCGGCAACAGGGAGGCTTGAGTTACATGCCCTGCACCTCCGGGAGCCCCCAGGTCTGTAAGAGGAGCATTCAGGTTCAAGCACTGCTAAATGCTTCCCATGTTCTTCCACAGAGCAGGCAGTTCTGATGGCTGCTGTGAACAGACGAACTCGTGTGGCTGCCGTTGTGTTACAGCTCAGCCTCTGCGGTCCCTGAGCTCACAAAGCACTGGACAGTGGCCGCCAGTCCTCCCTCTGCCTGTCAGCTCAACTGAGTGGCACCACTTTTCTATATGACATCCTACATGATTCCCCCTCCCCCTTCCATATCCCAAAGAGTTCTTGTGCTGAAAAACTCCTGAAAAGAACAGTTTGTGGGTGTTTGTTCTGCGTGGCCCAGCTGATGTTGCACAAACCAGGTCCTTTCCCCGGGTACCGGAGGGCACTGAGCTCAGCAGTTCTATCAGTGCAAGCGGAGCTCAAGGGTTCTCCATCTGCTAGAAAGAGGTCATAGAATTTTAAAGTAGGAAAAAAAATGCAGTGGTATCTCGAGTAAATTAATCAGAAATTTTAAACCTCTTGCAAGTGCTCAGAATGCTCAGAATGCTTCAGGAAACTCGCCCAGAAATTTACCCAGCAGCTGGGAACGGCCGCGGAGCAGAGGTGGGTTTTCTCATCCATCAGGACTCGTTTCACCCCGTGCTGCACAGCAGCACATCACAAACGTTGATTCCAGAAGCACGGCCAGTTGTTTAATCCACTGCCCTGCATTTCTACATTTCTGTTACTGTTTGCAGCCAAGAAAGTTCCACTTGGAGCTGAGATACAGCTGGGAGAGTTTATCCAATGGAGGTGACTTAGCAGCTGTGTGGAGGTGCTTCCAACAGCAACACCGGGGCTGTTCCAGCTGCAAGGCTGAGTCTGCTTTGTAGAGAATGACTTAAAAATGACTTTTAGGAGTCACTGTTTGCGCTGATCCAAACACTATCAACAATTTTTGTACTGTTTTAGTCAGGTTTTGGTACCCAAGTATAAAAGTATAATCAAGTAGCACCAGTGAAGAGGTTTAAGTTATCCTGGAAACTCGAGTTCCTAATCCTGCACCAACAATGGAAACCTGCTTTGGAGTGTTTTCCACTCCCAGCTCCCCATATGTGGAACTGTGAGCAAATTCCTGTGCAGCTCATTTGCAATTATTATCTGCCTGTTCCTTCTGAGTCCAGCTCTTCTCTGAAGTAACGCTGCCAAATCTACTCTCAATTACGTTTCCAGTTTAAAGAATCTCACAGCTTTGCTACCAAGTCTGGTAATTAATTACTGCTCTCCCTTTCAGTGGAAAAGCAGAAAAAATGGAGTACACATGCTGTGAGATTAATATTTAACGCTTTATGTCTTTTAACTATAAAAGAACTGCACTACGTACCGCATCACCGTGCATACATTTAACATTCAACAAAGACAACTCAGTAATCCACCGCCGGAGGAAAAAATAAAAGAGAGAAAGGAGGGAAAGATTTGATCCCAGCCTTCAGGAAGGGTGAATCCCCTGCACGTGGGGCTGCACCCCGCCGCTCTCAGGGCTGTTTTTCAAAGCGCTGCGCGGCACTGCGGACACATCGCGGCTCCGACCCCGTCCTGTCGGCGCGGCTTCACCGCCAGCTCGGCTCTCCCGCTCCAAACCGTCCCGATCCGAGCCGCCCGCCCCGCTCTGTTGGCCGGCGGCTCGGGAGCGGAGCTGGGCGCACATCAGAGGGCGCTGTTGGGTTGGACCGAAACGTCTTGAGTGCCAATAAAACGTTGTAACGATTAAGAAGATAATAATTGGCATTCCAGTGGGTTTGGAAATGTGAATAATTTTCAGGCTTGTCTGAAAGAAAAAATGTGTAAAAGTAAAGAACCCAATAAAATAAAAGTGCTCGTATTTCACTATGAAAAAAAAGTAGGAAAGGAGGAAGGGTGGTTACATTTTTTCCATCAACTCACGGAATTTTAAACCAACAGATAAACGCAGACCTTAAGCACAGACTTTAAAAGCAGGCTTTAAAAAAATCCATTTGTGAAATATCCAATGCCATCACAAAGCAGACCCAGGATTTTGTCCCCGTTATGCATTTTAGGAACAACATTTGAGATGTTCTCCAGCACCAGTGACTGCTGTCCTGCTGGGGGAGTTTTCGGCCAGCATGAAAAAAGAAAAGCTTGGAAAAAGATCTAAAAAATCCAAGGTGGTTAAAAAGCACGAGAGCTTGTAAGAAAACAAAGTCGCCATCAGCCTTGTGAAAGACGTCCTAAAACATCCCAGTGCTGTGCTGTAAGTTGACAGCATCCTTTTAATTCTTCCTTACTGAGAATCCCATCTTTCCTGGCCAGCGGAAGTGGACGTGCCCAGTTTCAACACCTGGGAATGGCAATGTGAATCTCAATCCAGATACACTCGAGTCACTGAGTTAACTTTCCAGTGGTTAAACAATAATAATAATTAAAAAAGCCAAAGCGACCCTCTGAGAGAGTTTTATTTTTTATCAGAAAGCTCCAGAATGCTCCCAGATCCACAAATCCAGTAAGTCACTTCTACAGGTAGGGTTAGACTTATGAGAATTCATCACTTAAAGGAGGCAAAAGGACTCCAGTTATGAAACTGCCTTACAAAACATCAGGAAATTAAATGACCACATCAGGAAGATTTACAAGGTCTTGCACCAGTAGGTTAAAAGCACCATGAATGCAGCACAGCTTGTATTCCATCAGTGAAATACGGTGCAACCGTGTGCCAAGTGTGCTAAAACTTGCTCCTAAACAAAGTCAGTTCCATGGAGCTGAGGCTGAAATCTGCAGCCCGTGTGGCCTTTAAAAACTTTGAGAAAGAGATTATATTAAACTGGGTTTCATAAAAACATCTTTGATTTTTTCATTAAGCACCATATGAACATTTGATAACAGCTACAGCGTTTTCTCAAAGCTCGTGGGGCTGCAGTTACAGTGGAAGATTTCAGGAAAACATCAAAGCAGCGGGTGGGAAGCACAGCAAACATTGACACGAACATTCAGTCACAAGAACGTGGATGAACCCCATCCTCTTCCACTAAATACAAAAGCTGAAGGACTCAGCTGAAAACAAAGCAGCACAACATGACAGATCAACAGGAAACATCGATTCTGGTGGTCGCTTTCAATCCGGAACGCAAACAGCACAGCCCCACCCAGAGTCACACCAACACAGCACAGCCCGTCCTCTATGCACGAGACACACAAGAACAACCTCTAAGACCAAAGAAAGCAAACTGAAGTAAAATCGCTGAAGGTCTCTGCAGTTCTTCCTGCAGCTTTTATTACAGACTTTCGCAAGAGCTTCACTTTCCCTGCTCTGAACGCCTTTCAGTTTCAGAGGTGGCTGCTCAGCACAGCGCGGTGGGTCAGGATCAGCCCCTGGCAGCCCATAGCCACAGCCACAGCAGCTGACCTCAGCCACCCCTACCAATATTTACACCGACTTGGTATCCGTGCCTGGATGACCAGCCCTGCTGCCCTGGGATGCCTGGTCACTGCACATCGTTGTGGGGCCCTATGTACATTCTTGCCTCACTCCCGTTATTGAGCTAATCTAACAAACACAGATAGTGTCACTTTTTTGGGTGTTCTTACTGACAGAAGTCCTTCCAATATCGGAGAATCGGATACCAAAAAAACCCCTCTGAGGCTGTAGTACTCAGCAAAAACAGGAGGCAGTACAAATGTTGGTGCTCATTGGCTGCAGGTGGCATTTCCAAACCACTGGCACCACTTACACTGCAATGTCCTGATTTCCAAAAGTGCTTCAGACCCAAAACTGCAGCCAAACCATCAGAGGAGCTCAGCTCCAAATCTGGCATCTGCACAAGACGGCCTTCAGTTGGACGAGTAACAGAGGGGGCTGCAGAGCCCTGCATTCTTTTTGTCTTGTCCCACTGAGATTTTTCTGTGTGCCATGAGATATGTTCAGCCATTACGAACTAAAATGCATAGATGATCTGGAATAGGAACTACTGAAAACTTACTCAGCTTAAGTTACAGAAAATCAACGTAGCAAGTGATGCCTTCATGTAAAGGTGGGAGGAACTGCTTGTCCTTCATCAGCCACGTCTGCTTACAGCCTTCAGATCTTCAGCCAGAACAACCCGTGTGCAATTTGCCTTTTCATTTAACGCTTATGAACAAAACAGCAAATAAGTGTTATGCTTTTCTTAAGAATATCTTTCAGTTCTGTCTCTTCTTTAGGGAACAGAAGGTTACCAAGCAAACAGAATTTCTGTTGGTGGTGTTTTCTTCTAAAGCTTCCCAGGCTGATTTTTGTTAGCTTATCTCAACTCAGTTTTACTTGGAAGGGTGAAAATCTCACCTCATTTGAAAGCCAACCTTTATCCCAGCAATGAAACAGGAGGTCTGCTATGGAGCTTAAAATCCCCAGTATGAATTTATACAGCAATACAAGCTGTGCAAAAGATCGCCAAAGATTGAAAGAAAGCAGAGGAAAAGAAAAAGATTTGCATTCAAAAGGGTCAGTAAAAAATTCTGAGCTGCTTCTAAAAAGGTCCGCTGTGCTGTTCGATACGCAGAGCTCACTGACAATCACTTGTGGATCCAATTCCTCTCCTGGAACTGGAATTCCCCAGTATCCTGATGGATAGATTTTCACTTCTACTGTGAAAAGCTGAAGAGATTTGGGCAGTTCACTTCATATGCTGAGAGAGCAAGACAACAGACACCACTACGTGTGCTCAGTGCTGCTTAAGCCAAAACTGGTGTCCAAGTGACATCAAGGACACACCTGAAGAGCTGCAGTCTGAGCTCCTGAAAGATGAAGATGCAGCAAAAACAATTCGGAAAGAGAAACTTGTTCTCTAAATACTTGTAGTTAAGGATATGTGAAATGAATTTATTCTTACTTTCTACGCTTTCATCAGCAGCATATTTTTGTTATCCTGACACGTCTGCCCTGGCTTCCAGGTCACAGTAAGTCTATGAAAAGGCGCGAGGTTTACAGTTTCGATAATACTGCCCCAATACAGAGAGATCAAAACTTAACTTAGAAAAGTCCAAAGGATGAAAACCACATTTCTTCTAATTGAATCTTCAGAGAGAGAGAGCAGTGTCCCTTTCAGACCAGGGATTAAGGAACACGACATCATTATTTGAAGAAACCTGTTATGAAAACAACAGGGTTCTGCCTACAAAACACCTCCTCTTCCTCGAAACCAGGAGGCAGAGGCACAGCTGGAGGCTGCTCAGATGAGACCTCTGTGAACCCTGGGCAGATCCTTCACAGAATTCTGGTGCACAGCACTGAAAACTTAGAAGTATTAAGAATTTGAATTCTTCCCACTCTTCTATTAAAACACTGAATAACAATTAAAAAAACCCAACTCAGTCTCACCAGCTGGATAAATACAAAGTTTCCTGTTGCAGACCAACCACTGTTGGAGAGAGATTTCCAATCCTCCCCACCTCCTCCCACTGCTACGTAAGTGGTTCTCGGTCTGCTAAGCTCCTGTGGATTTCCTGCTTGTCCTCAGCATCATCATCATCAGCAGGATCGTTCTCCTCCCCAGACTCCACGTATATGGGCCAGTCATTATCCGTATCACCCTTCTCCTGGCCCTCTGACGATGGTTCCATCAGACTGAGGTTAATGGGCATTGAGTCCTCGTGCGTGGTGGTCACACAAGTGCAGCTGTCACACAAGCCAAAGCGCCGTAATCCTTGGGACAGACTGCTTGTGAATGTTCTCCTGCAGCCTTTACAGATAATCGGCTTATTGGATCGATGCACCTGAAGTTAAAAATAAAATGTTATGGTAACAGAAGCAATTTGTAGCTTTGGCTGTTTCTAGGGCACTGGCTTGCATTCCTAAAACAAACACCTACAGTTAAGCTACGGGGCAGCAACTCTACTGCATCTCCAGCAACAGAAATCCGGGGCTACGTAAGTACTAAAATCAAATCCCGGTTGCTCAAACTTCTCATTAGCAATGCTTACCTCACATTGGCAACAACCTCTGTCCGAGATGCTCTGTGCAACGTGCCTGGGAAACAACAGAGCAGCCCGCCTTAAGGACTCCCCCAGCCCCACACTCACACTCAGCGCGTGGCTCCGCAGGTGCTCCTGGCGCGTGAAGCGCTTCCCGCAGGTCTCACACGGGTAGGGCCGCTCACCGGTGTGCGAGCGGATGTGCCGCTTCAGGATCCCCTTCTGCTTGGCCGTGTAGGGACAGAACGGGCATTTGTGGAGCTTGATTGGCACAACCAACACGTCACCTTTGGGGAAAAAACAAGGCGTTACACCAGGCGGCTCAGCAATGGTAGCGACGTTGGCTTCTCATCCTCCAGTAACTCTCAGTCAGGATAATTTGTTTTCCACTCCTTTTGTATCTGGCTTACCTGGAATTTCTGTGCTGTGCAATTGCAAAACCTCTGATGATGGCCGAGTCCCTTGAAAGTCAGTTTGCCACGTCTCTGAGTGAGCTGGCTCACAACAACACGCTCACCTTATGCTTAAGAAGCCTTTCAGTTCGGTGCCCAGAGGTTGCTTTCAGTGCAGTGTGGTCACTGCCATAAAAGCTCTCTCCCTCCATCCTTTTTTTTTAAAGGTTACCATTACCATGGAATAGCATTAGCAACTAGAATCTCTACTATAAATGACACTTCCCATACACTTCTACTGTGCACATGAATTTAGATGCAGGGAACTCATCTGAAAATACAAAGGCATCTACTATAATACAAAGGCTATTCACTTTATTCTACTAGAAATAGGATCAATACACTTCCTGGTTAGATTTTACTTCTCCAACACATGGACACATTTATGTAGTTAGATGCAAAAACAGAGAATTAAATTTGAAGATCTCCTTTTACACACGTGAGTATTCCCATTTTTTTCAGTATCAGCCTAGATATGAGCTGTCATTCTAGCATGAAGGTTTAGGTGTTATACTGAAAGATTAGTTTTCTCCAGTGTTTCAGCTTCAAAGAAGTATTTGCATTTTCAGCCCTTTTACAGCTACATGCCATTAGCAGGACTGCAGAATATTGCTCTTACTGAGGTTTGCCAAACTCAGCCTCAAAAAAAAAAAAAAAAAGTGTCTGGTATCAACAGGTCACCATCAAGTGAGATGCATCTCACCCAGTTCTGGACCTCCCTCCTGGGCATTCAGAGCTCCATGCACAAAAACAAAAGCAGCCTGCAGATTGCTTTGCTTCCAAACTCTGGAGGTGGCTGTCTGCCCTCCACCAGCTGCGAAAGGGTTGGGATGGCTGGAACAGAAACAGATACTGGAAAGTGGCACTCTCTCATCTGGCAGCTTGAATGCACACCTTTCTTCTACCAGGACTGTGCATCTGTCATTCCTGGTGTCTTGTGAGAATGCTGAAGACAGCAGGAGCATTAAAGGCTGAGAAGTAACCTTCCCACTACCTCCTTATGACCACATTTTTTTGTGCTCCTATTTAAAGCACATCTAATATTAACATTTCTAATATGTTAATACCTGATGTTCTCTACCAAATTTTTGAATATTTCCTTTTTAAAGTAATATTAAAAATCCAAAGATTTAAGGAATGGGAAAAGAGTAAACAAACTGTGTTAGATGCTCTCACCTGGCTACATGTCACAAACCACAAGCATGGTGTTGTGACTGCACGCTGTTCTGCAACTTTACTCTTTTGTTGACATTAAGACTGAATTTGTGACTTTACCAGTTATTACTTAAAAGCATTGGGGGAATACATAGTTTTTATTGGTTTCAAGATCATACTTGCATACTTGAACTAGAAATAACAAGAATGTGAGAGCCTGCTATCCAGAACTGCTTTCCATGAAAGATTTGCTCTGTGCTGCCTGCACTACTATTCCATTTGCCATATCCTGAGCAGTTTTGTCACTCGCAGTGTGTTGTCAGTTGCTTCCCTTCTTCGTAAGACAGTTTGGATGAGGTCAGTTGTTTGCCAACATTACAAGCAGATAAAATGCTCAAATCCTTTGAGTCCATTTCAGCAGAAATGCTGAAGGACATGAGCACCTTCTTCTCCAGGTCCCTGACATTGCTGCTAGGAGACATTCCTGCCAGCGCGGGACATCCCAATGTGTACCAGGCTTGTGAAAGCAGCACCTCAGGTGACCAGCAGAAAAACGATTCTGTCTCTGGAAGTAAAAGTTAAGTCTTTATGCAATACCACAGGTTAAAGCTTTCCATGCTCCTAAAAGACATTCTAGGTAACATATTACTGAATAACATCCATTTCTGTCTTTTTGAAAGTGAGAGTAACAGCAAAAGGACTGCTGTCCTGCAGCCAATTAACTGGAAGGAGCTCCATGGAATAAGCTACATTTGGTGTAGCAGATTATACAGAACGCCCCTCCTGGAGAAGCCCAACTTATCTTCCCATTTCTGCTGCTAAAAAAGAATAACCTTCTCACAATTCCAGTGTTTCAAATTTGCCTGCCATTCAACAAGGTCCCAAATGAGACCGTTTAGAGGGTCACCAACACCGAGCTCCAGAACCTGTTTCAAAGAGACTGTGGAACCTATTACAAACACTTACCTTCCAAATGCTGCACTGAATAAATGAGTACAGCTTTCATTTGAAGTCCAGAACAACAGTTTATTTCACTATGGCATAATATTCAGCAACGTATTCCTGAACAAGAAAGAGTAACAGAGGTCACACGACTAAGCGGTTTCCTCACCAACCACAACGACTGAGCCTCGAGTCCTCTCACCTGTGTCCTCACCATACCAGTCGCTGTGAATGTCCACCATGGAGCTCATGGCTACCCCTGCATCCTCTGGCCTACCCTCAAAGCCCCGAACAAAGTGATGAACTACGTCATCCTTCCTCTGAGCCGAGCTGTTGTGCAACAAGGCCTCTAGGAACTGCTTCATGTGATAGTTCTTGCAGGCCAGGTCCATGGCCTGCCCTCCGTGCAGCCCCTCGTCCACCTGCTCCAGAGACAACGCAGCCGGGTACTGCTGCAGCCGCCCCCCCACGTCCACCTCCACCTCGTCCGCATCGAACTCGACCTTGGGTTCCACCCCCTTGGGCAGGGAAGAGTTGGCGTCGTCCGGGGAGTCGCTGCCCCCGGGGTCCCTCACCACCAGCTCCAGGGGATGGCAGCTGCTGCACTCTCCGCACGGAGGGTCGCCCTGGCAGCCCGCCATCCCCTCCTTTTCCCGCAGGGCCGAGGTGCTGCTCTGCCCCTTGGTGCTGTGCGAGGGGCCCTCTCTCGCTGAGCCTCCACTCCCACTGTCAGCCTGGTAGAAAGCGGCTTCCCTCTCTATTTTCCTGCAAATATCCAGCGAGGACCTAATGTAGGTTTTGCAGAAGTTGACCACGTCCGTCATTTGCAAGTAGCTCGCTGCAGACATGACCTCGATGACGTTCTCCCCACAGAGATCCAACTTCCCCGAGTAGAGGAAATCCAGGATGATGGAGAAGGCCTCCGAGGTGACGATGTCCAGGGAGGCCGTGCTGTGCCGCCCGCTGTCCTGTATGTAGTGAATCAGCAGGGCCCTGAAGTAGCCGCTGTTGGCAAACAGAATGTTTTTGTGCGCTTTGAAGATCCTCCCCTCCACGATGATGCTGCAGTCGCAGAAGAAATCCCTCTTGCGCTGCTCGTTGAGCTCCCCCAGGAGCTTCGTGTAGTACGACTGCATCTCCATGGCCGCGGCTGCTGCGGGCGGAGGGAGAAGGAACCGTCAGGAGGAACCGAACGGGGAACCGAACGCGGAACCGCAGAGCGGAACCCTCCCAGCGCCGACCCGACCCGACCCGGCACGGCCGCCCCGCTCACCTCCCCGCGCCGCTCCCCGCCCCACCGGGCCCTCCCGGAAGCAGGAAGTGGCGCTGCCGGAAGTCGCCCCTCCGCGGAAGGCGGGACTGAGAGGTGAGGGGTCGGTAAATATTGGTGACGTCACGCCGCCAAGATGGCGGAAGGGTGAGCGCGGTGTTACGGCGGAGCGGCCGGGCGGGGCTGGGCCGGGTCTTGGGGGCGGCGGGACGGATGGCCCCGGTGGGCCGGGGGGAGCGGGGCTCGGGATCGGGCCGGCTGACGTGCGTGTCCTCTGGCAGGGAGGACGCGGGCTGGTGGCGGAGCTGGCTGCAGCAGAGTTACCAGGCCGTCAAGGAGAAGGTAAAGCGGCCCCGAGGCCTCGGGGAACGGCTGGGGGCTGAGCGGGGGGCGGCGGCGGCGGCGGGGGAGCCGGGATCGGCAGCTCCCGGAGCCGGGCGGGTCAGTGCCCGCAGCATCGCGTCTGATGTGTGACGGTGCTGCTTATGTTAATTATACAGGACGCGTTGTGAGGCTTCTCCACGCCTGTTTTTCTTTTCCTGTTTTTTGGTTCTTAGTTTTTAACTTAAAAAATACTCTGACGTGTTTTGTGTATGGCTGTTTCCTGTTGCTATTCTGATTACTGCAGTTTTACCTCTTGCACAGGTTGGGGTAAAGGCACCTTGCAATTCGTTTCTATGAGTTTGAGGTGTTTCCAGAGGTACCAGAGCTTTGCTAGAGACCAAAAGTCTGTTTGTTGTCTCCTTACAGTCCACAGAAGCTTTAGAATTCATGAAGCGGGACCTGGCTGAGTTCACTCAAGTTGTGCAGCATGATACAGCCTGCACGATCGCTGCTACGGCCAGCGTGGTCAAGGACAAACTGGCAGTGAGTATTGGAGCAGAGTGCTGAGTTCCTGCTGTAGAAAGCAGAACAGTGTGAATAAGACATGCCCACATCCCTCCTGCCCCTGAGGACACAATCCTCCCTTATAGATTTAGTGCTGAGTGAGATTTTCTCACTGTAATGATGAAGCTTTGGGGATCAGTGAGGGAAGCTTACCAGTGCTTTCTTGCTGCCTGTGTGCTGTGCAGGAAGGTTACTGGCAGCATCACCATGGTGTGACATCAGACTTCTGCACACAAAGCTGTCAGCTTTGCACAGCTGTTTCTGTGCCAGTTCTCGGAGCCCAGCTCCCTTTCCCCTCAAAGCCCAGGCTCTGTTTCCAAGCAAACCCACTGCCTGCCCCACCACAACGTGGGGGCAGTGACTGCCAACATACCCTTTGTCCAGCCCTGGCCACAAGTCATTTGAGCACGTTTTTGGAGGGAGAGAAATCCTGCTTCAGGCACTGTTCCTTACACTGCATCACTATTTTTTTCAAGAGGACAGAAGCTTCTGGTGCGACTGAAAAGGTGAGGAAGGGGATTTCTGACTTCCTGGGTGTCATCTCAGACACTTTTGCTCCCTCACCAGACAAGACCATCGACTGCGATGTCATAACGTTGATGGCAACACCCACAGGTACCACAGAGCCCTATGACAGTGCGAAGGTGAGTGCCCCAGCTCTCAGCTTCCCCTCAGCACTAATCCCTAGGCCTGTCCTTGCCTGTCCTGCACTACCCCTCCACTGATGGCTCCTCCACATATGTGCTCTCCTCCAGGCTCGCCTCTACAGCCTCCAGTCAGACCCAGCCACCTACTGCAACGAACCTGACGGTACGGAGCCCTGGCAGCTCTGCTGAAAAAAGCTGGCCTGGTGTGGGGTCTGTGGGCCATCCTGAACCGTGCAGAACCTTTCAGCAGTGGGTCTGCTGACTGAGTGTAGGCAAGGTCACCTGTGGTAGGAAGCAGGCCTATCTGTTGCCTTGAGGACTAGCTTAGATTGAGTTTTCTGGATTGGTTTAAACAGCTTCTGCAGCTGGTGCTCTCCTACAAGGTGGGCGCAGAGATTGGAGTCTCAGTCTCCCCTGAGGCTTTGGCCTGTCACATAGCTGTGAGCAGCAGTGCTGCTCCTTTCCTCTGGGTACAGGGAGTGTATAGCAAATGGGTGGAAGTGCCTCTATGCCTTGACTGCTTTTGGCTTGAAAATGCTATTCCTCCCTTCCCTGGTTTCTCTGCTTTGACTGCACACTGCTTGTGAATCCCCTCCTGCTTGTGTGGGGTTTGATGCCACATGAAGGAGGTGTGCTCATCTCAGGGCTGCATGTCTTGTTGTATTCCTGCCTTTCCTTGTCCGACCATTGCTCACCTCATCTTGTCTGGAGCATCTTTTCAAAGAAACTTCCTTAAACTTTGTGCCTTGTTTATGACAAAGATTGTTATCTCTCTTCTTGTCCTGTGCAGGCCCTGCTGAGCTTCTTGAAGCCTGGCTCTCCCAATTTAGCCTAGAAGAGAAGAAAGGGGAGATTGCAGAACTGCTGGCAACCAGCCCTTCCATCCGGGCTCTCTACACTAAAATGGTAACGGCCTTTACTAGTGTAGCAGGAAGATTCTGATCTGGGTTATGATTCCCACCTGAGCCCTGAGGAGTTGGTGGCAGAAAGGATTGTAGTTGCACGTCGTATTCTGCCCCCACTTGTTTTTCACGGTCCTGGCTCAGAATTTCCTCTGTAGCTGTCTGATGTGTGTCTGAGCATCTGTTGGTGTGAACCTCATGCTTTGTCCCAGCTCTGTGTGCCTGGCGAGGCTGGTGCGTTGTGCAGGTTACAGTGGTTCTTGTAAGGCTCGTGACCTTACCCTTCCTGTGCTGTTTCCAGGTCCCTGCGGCTGTCTCCCATTTGGAGTTCTGGCAACGCTACTTCTATAAAGTGCATCGCCTGGAGCAGGTAGGTCAGCAGGTGGGGGTTTCTCCCAGTGTGTGAGCACTCCAGCCAGAGCGCTCACTAGGGCAGACTGAAGAGGTAGAAGGTTCATTCCTGGAAGAGCAGGGCTTGGCTGCCTTCTGTGTCCTTGAAGTTGTTGATGTTCCTGGGGAAAGAAAGGTCCAGGACGTGAGCAGCTGCTGATGCTGAGTTCCCTGCAGGATGAAGTCCGGAGGGAGGCTCTGAAGCAGCGCGCGGAGCAGAGCATCCACCAAGAGGAGCCAGGCTGGGAAGAGGATGAAGGTGGGTTAGATGGTGGAGGGGGTTCTGTGGGTAGCCTTGTGCAGACATCAGCAATCTGTTAGAGAAAGTGGCAGCTCCTCCTTGCTCCCACCAGTTCAGCTCCTGGCCCAGCTTTACCAAAACTGCTGTGCTGTCAATTGCTGCTGCACTTGCTGAAACATCTCTTGCTTCTCTTCTGCCTTCTTACAGAGGAGTTCTTGGGGATGTCACCCCTGCCTTGTGCAAACGTGCAATTTCCACAAGCAGCGGAGAAAGCATCTGCTCCTGCAACCCTGGAGGGAAGCCACCCCTCTGTTCACAAGGGACCCTCGGAGGAAAGCTGGGCCATCCTCCCTCCTGAGTTGGCCCCAGCAGAGGGGAGCCCCTCTGAGAGCAGTGAGAGCGTTTCCCTTGTGACTCAGATCGCAAACCCTGCCTCTGTGCCTGCTGTGCAGCTACAGACTGGAGTGCAGCCATCTGGGGACAGAGTGCTCTCTCAGAGGCTGCTGGAGGCCACCTCAGAGGAGCAGAACCCGCTGCCAAAGCCCCCCGAACTGGGGCGTCCCTCTGCGCCTGCCCAGGAGCCAGCAGCGTGCTCAGAGCAACCGGCTGTGACTGGGCCCAAAGAGTTGGAGAGCAAAGCCCAAGGCAGAACAGAGACTCTGAAAGAGGAAGGACCAACAGATCTACGGGTCTTTGAGCTGAACTCTGACAGTGGGAAATCTACCCCTTCCAACAATGGCAAGAAAGGTGGGTGTGGACCAGCACTAGGCCTGGAAACCTTCTGTGTGGCAGCTTTTGAGGAAAGGGCTCAGAGTCGGAATGGAAAGCTGGGTGCGGAATCTTGGGCTTGGAGCTCTGATGCTGGTCATGCAGATAATGGAGTCAGTTGGGCGTTTCTGACAAAACATTAAGACTAGGTAGCAGTCCTAATTGACCCGTGGAGAGATTTTCTGCTGTGCAGATCTCTGTCCTGGCCCATTGTTCCCTGAATTGCTGTCTAGAAGATATCAAAAGCCAAGCCCAGGTTCTTTGCTTTTGTGATAATGGAGGGAGGAGAAAAGAAATCAAAAGTGTCTGCTGAGCAGAGCAGCTTTTGCTTTGGCCAGAGTGCCTGGAGAGCAAATGCAGCCCGGGTGGCTCAGCTGTGATGTTTGTGGTTCCAGGTTCCAGCACTGATATCAGCGAGGACTGGGAAAAGGACTTTGATTTGGATATGACTGAAGAGGAGGTGCAGCTGGCATTGTCGAAGGTGGAGGTGTCTGGGGAGGTGAGTTGGGGGTGGCAATCACTCAAATGGGTGAGAGCTCTGCTCCCAGAGAAGCACCAACGTTTCATCAGCTCTGCAGGGCCATGGGGATCAGAATTAGCTGGAGCAGAGGGTGGCTTCTAGATGTGCTCTGTGAGGGAGGAGTGTTCCCCAGGGAGAGCTCGGCAAACAGATCCCTGTTGTCCGGACACAGAGCTGGTGGTTGTGTCAGACTCAGGTGCCCTGGGGAGGAGGATTTCTCACCAGGTGGCTGCTGAGTTGCAGAAACAATTGAGGGATGTTATTCTTGTTTGCAGCTGGAAGACGAAGAGTGGGAAGACTGGGAATAAAACAACGGCTTCCAGCTTATCACAGGCTCATTTCCACCATCGAATGTGAATTAAATCACAGACCAGCTATTCCTTTGTGTGTAACTGTGCTGGGGATTGCAGCTCCTGGCTGGAGGAGTTTTACTCCTGCTAAATCCTGTGGGCAACTCAAACGACCCCTTCAGACCCGGAGGAGGAGGGAAGAAGTGGGAATTTGCTCGTACACTTAAGCTGCTGGGGAGCTCATCTTCTCAGGAGGTCCAAGAGAGTGGCAAGGCCAAAACTGACAGCCCCAAAAGTGTCAGGTGGAAGCAGATGCAATGCAGTGAGGGGCTGAGTGGGCACTTGGGCAGCTGGCAGGATTGCTCAGTGCTGTCAGACTGCCTGTTGGATGACTGTGTGCGTGTGTGTGTGTGTGTGTTTAATCTGTGTGCAGCAGCTCAGAGGTTCCCAGGTGCTGCTCCTGCTCGCTCTCTGAGCTGCTGGCCCATTATTCCTGATGCGGGGAGTGGCTGGGGCTGGAGGTACTGCAGCAGAAGTCCCGTCTGCTGTCACACTCATTGCTGCAAAAGAAAGCAGTTGGCTTTTGGCTTTGGCCTGAAGCTGGGCCGCACTGGAAGGAGCTAAACTCCCTGCCAAACCCTTAGCTTCTGCCTGGCTTTTTGTCTTGGAAGCTTCTTCTAATGGAAACTCCTGTCTCCTGCAGCAAGAGCAATGGCTCCTCTAAGAGCCAAGGCTTGATGTTGTCCTCTTTGCAGCTAGAACAGCTGCACTGCCTTTCTCTACTGCGTTTTGTGTACTTCTATTAAATTCTCCAAGCGGAGTGCTTGTGGCTTGCTCTTCCCTGAGCCCTTCTTGGGCGGGCAGTGCTTTGGGTCAGCCTGGAGCAGCACCCTGCTGCAGCAGTGCCCTTAGCAGAGCTGCAGCCCGCCCCTTTGGCCACCCCGAGGCCACAGGCCGCCCTCTGCTCATTTGGTTTCCTTCACTTGAGCCCCTGCGACTGCTTGCAATGCTTCCTTCAGCCCCACCGCCCCTTTCCAGGGCAGTTCATTCTTAATGTCAGGAGGTTACCCTAAAGGGGCGGAGCTGTGCTTGGTCTTTTGGGAGGTGCTTTTATACGTGCTACCTTTGTTCTTCTGCCCCTTCCTAGGCTGCTTCATTTGAGCTGTGGGTTTCCTCATTTCTGAATTGCATTAGTGTAGGTGCTCTTGGAAAACTTGGTATTTTTTTCCCCCCTGCATTTGGGGACATTCAGACGCGGCCACCTATGTGTGTGGGTTGGTGGCAGCACTGATCTGAGGCCCTTACATGAGAGCTTGTCTGTGCTGCAGAACTCATGAGGTCCAAGGGACTGAACTGCAGCTCAGCTTCCACTGAGAAGTCCAGCAGGCGCAGCAGAGCCTCTACAACCTGCACAGCCTCACCCTGTCGTGGGCTGAGTTTGGCTGTAGCAGGAAAACCTGTTGTGGGCAAATGCTGGGCAGCAGTGGGGCGGTTCCTGCTTGGGGCTGCTGCTGGGGCAGGGCGCTCAGGGCTGTGCTCCCTCAGGTCTGTGAGTCAGGCTGGAGCCAGAGCTCTGGGGCTGCGCTGCTCTTGTGTGTCTCTTTTTTCTTTCGTCAAATTAACCATTTGGTTGTCTGTGCAATATTCTCTATTTGGAACTATTCCACATCTCCCTGAGCCTTTTCTAGCTGGGGTGAAAAACCAGGAACAATTCTAACAGCTGGTAGTTTTGTAACAATGACTTTCTCCAAACGTTTTACAGACTTGCAGTTAACAAGCAATTAAAAGAATTCAGCAGTCACCACCTGTGTCCTCATTTCTTTTGCCTGTTGTGGGCTGGGGACAGCTGTCTCAAGAGGATCAACTGCTTTAAATTTCTTTTTGCTTTCCTCCCCCTCACCTCAAGGGAAGTTTACTTAGTGGGGAGGGGGATGGGGATGAGGACATGGGGGTCCTCTTGGTCTGCTCTGTTCCCTGCTGCTGAAGGCCAGGGGCTGTGAGGGAGCAGGTAAAAATGGCCAAGTGTGAAACAGACCTTGTCAGTAGTGGCACTCGTGAGGCTGAATTTGTGGGAAACACTGACATCTGAATTTATTGGCATCCTAGAAGCAATCCCTCCCCTGGGAGGGAGCGGGGTGAGCGCTTCTCAGGGTCTGGCCAGCCAGGGGTGCCTGCTGAGCCGCTCCACCGAGGGCCGCAGGACCATGTCTGGTTCCAGGAGCCTTTTCAGGAGGTCCTGGCACGACCTGGAGACCCCCAGGTGCCTGGGCAGGGAGACGCCTTTCTGCTGCTGGCACAACATCTGCGGGATGTTGGTGTCGTCGAAGGGCAGGTGGGCGCACAGCAGGACGTAGAGGATGACGCCCAGGCTCCAGATGTCGACCTTGCGGCTGTCGTGAGGCACTCCCTGCAGCACTTCGGGCGCCGCGTAGGCCATGCTGCCGCAGAAGGTGCGGCTCAGCTCCCGGCTGCCTGCAGGGAGCTGCTTGGCGAAGCTGAAGTCCGTCAGCTTCACGGTCTGGCCCTGCAGCAGCGCGTTCTCGCACTTGAGGTCGCGGTGAGCCACCCCGCAGCTGTGGCAGTACTGGATGGCCTCGACCAGCTGGCGGAAGATCGCCCTGGCGCGGTGCTCAGGCAGGGGACCCTCGTGTGCCACGTAGTCAAAGATGTCCCCGTCCTCGGCCAGCTCCATCACGAGGTAGATCTTCCCCTCTGCAGACTCCAGCACCTCGTACACGTGGATGATGTTCTTGTGGTCCAAGCGCTCGATGATCTGCAGCTCCCGGGGCAGGAATTTCTGAATGAACTCTGCCAAGAGGAGGAAAATTTACTCTCAGTTCCTGAGCCGCTGAGCCCCGGCACCTGGCCTGGCTGCAGCCACAGGGTGGGAAGGAGGGGAGGTTGTGCCGTGGGTGCCTGGCTCCTCGCCAGGGCCCTTGTCTGGAGGGGATCTGAGCTCTGCTGCTTTTGGCCATCGCTGCAGCTGGAGGAGCCGGTTAAACCCCCCTGGGTTGTGGCCCCCCGGCTGCTCTGCGCTGCCCTCAACACCTACCTTCCCTGTTTGCTCTTAGGTGGAAAGTTTGGGGAACTCATTTTCTGGCAGGAAAAGCTTCCAAGGAGGGACGGTGCCTCAGCCTGGAAGCTCTTTGGGGCTACTTCTTACCTTCTGGACTTGCACTCTTATCAATTATTTTAATTGCTACTTTCTTCTGGTGCTTATGGGAAAAGGCCTCCTTCACTTTGGAGTAAGCTCCCTCCCCAATGGTTTTGCCAAGCTGGTAGCCGCTGGCAAGCAAAAACTGCTCCATGTTCTCTCACACTCCGGGGTCGTTCAATCTCAGGTCTGCCCCCAGCAACTCGACAACAGCATCGCAGTGGCCAGGGGATCCCCGTGCCCTCTGTTGGCATGCGTAGTGCCACCAGGCCCTGCTCATGCCCTGCTGGGAAGGGGCATCGAGGCACCTCTGGTAGCCTGGGCGTGCTATTGTGATGCAGCTGATGCTGCGTGAATCCCAGATGACGGATGTGCATCAAGGTGGGCGACCGCTCTGCCAGGCAGGGGGGATCGGGCTGTGCTGAGCTCAGTGGGCACCGTGAGTAGGGGGCTCACGGGATGGGGGAACGCGGGGCGGGGGCTGCCGGGGGCCCCATGTGTTCCTCTCCCACTTTCCTCAGGGCAGATCGGGGGCGGCAGAAGGGCTTTCAGGGCCGGCGGTCAGAGAACACTGCTGCAGCAGGGAGGGGAGCCCAGGGCCGTGCCATGAGCCCTGTGCAGGGCTGTGCTCCTTCCCTCCCGCTGCAGCCTCACATCTGAGCTGACTGCGTTCGGCAGCTCCAGCGCCTGCGGCCCAACCGGGCCGGGCTCCTTCGCCAGGGAGGGCGAGGCGAGGCCGCGGTGAGCGCCGGGCCAAGCGTGCAGGGCCGGGAACGCAGCCAGGCCCCGCTCGCAGCTGCTTCTCCCCGCGCAGAGACGGCCGGGCCCGGACATGAGCTCCCAGGAAGCGCCGCGGGCCCGCAGGTTCCCCATGGAGGCAGGCGACTGCCGCAGCGCAGCCACGGCGTTGGAGACCCAGCAGCGGGTGGGCACCGCATGGACCGCGGGCAGGTGAGGGACCTGCGGGGCTCCCCGCGGCGCCACGCGCTGTGCCGCGCCGTCCCTGCGCTCACCCCGCTCTCCCTGCAGGCAGCTGCGGCGGTGCCCCGCGAACCACCGCCTGACGCTGCCCCACGTCCCCATTGATGTCTTCATTGCCATGGGAGGGAACTGCCGGCCACGCAGCATCTGATGCAGCCCGGGAGCAGCGAGGGACGCGGATCCTTTATGCACTTTGTAAAGAAAGGCCATCCTACAGCGTTTCCGCGCCTGCTGTCCTCTTTGTGTCGCCGAGCCGCGCGTGGCGGTGCGGCTGCGCGCCCCCGACGGCCGCCCTGGGATCCCGGGGCCGCCCGCTCCCGGCTCAGCGCGGCCGCGAGGGCGACCTGGGGACAGGGAGCGGGGAACGGGGAACGGCTCCGGGGATGGGGCTGTGAGCGGAGGGGTTGGGGCTGAGGAAGCCGGAGCGGGGGGAGTCGGGAGGGGACGGCGCTCGGGGGACGCGGACGGCGACGAAGATCCGCACGAGGGCGGCGAGGCTCGGCCCCGCCCCCCGCATCGCCCCGCCCCCAGCGCCAGAAAGGGGCGTGGCCTCCGCGTTTGGCGCCGCGTGGTTCCTCTCGGCCGCCGTCGGCCGCCCGCTCCCCGCCCTCCCGCTCCCGCCGCCATATTGTGGCCGCCGCCGCTCGGAGCCGCCGCCGGAGGAGCGTCCGCCCGGGGATCCGCGATGGGTGAGGGCGGCGGGGCCGGGCCGCGCGTTCGGAGCCGCGGTGCCGTCCAGCCGGGGCCGAGCCGTCCTGACGCGGGCGGCGCCGGCCGCTCCCGCCTCGGGGCCGCGCACTGAGTCATCCCGCGGGCGGCCGGGCCGGGGGGCGGCAGCCGCGAGCGCGGCCGTTGTGCTCGGAGGCGGCGGCCGCCGGAGCCCCGCGGTGTCGCGTGCCGCTGTCGGGCTCCCGGCGCTCCGGGGCGGCGGCGGTGCGCGCCGTGCTTCCGCGCGGAGCCGTTGGGCGCGGCCGCCGCTGTCGGTTTGCCGTCCGCGATCCGCGCCTCGGAGGTCGGGGCGGCGCGGTGCCGCGCTCTGTGCCGCCGTTCCCCGCGCTCTCGCGGCTCCTTGGCGGCTCGGCGTTGTTCGGGATCTCCCGGCTGGGCGCGGCTCCGAAGGCTCCGTCCCGTCCCGCCGGCCTTCCTGGCGGCGGTCGCTCAGCGCTGCTCTCGTTATCGCTGTAACGCCGCTCGCTTTTAAGACGAAGTCCGCGTTGTCGCTGTTCCCGGCAGGCGGTCCCAGCCGCGGGGCTGCGCTGCCGGCCCCGCTCTGCCCTGGGCGCTCCGGCTCCCCCCGTTGCCGTGCGCTCGCACAGCCGCGTGTGTTCGCTGTGCTGAGCTGAACGGACCGCGCGGCTGCTGGATCCCGTTGGTTATTTGGCTGCTTTGCTTTGTTTGCTCGAGTTGAGGCGAACAAACATGAACTTTGTGAAGGGGAGCTGTGCTGTTAATGGTGGTCGGTGTCAGAGCAGAAGTGCCCCTTCCTTCAGCGCTGTGCTTCTGGTCTGTGCTGCTGATGAGGTCTGGAGAAACGCGCTTATGGGAGCTCAGTGCTGCTGCAGCAGAGCTCTGCTGGGACGGCTGAGCTCCTGGGATGTCGCTGTGTTTGGCTGCTTTGAGTGGCTTTAGGACCCTGTAACGCTGCAGCGTCGGGTTTGAGGTGAATCAAAGAGTCGATCCTCATTGTGAGGAGCCTTGCAGAGAGCTCTCTGCCCTCTGACAGGAGGCTGTTATCCCTCACGCATCATCAGTGTCCTCCTAAGGGAGCTGAAGGCCCTGGGATGTGCACAGAGGGCCTAAAGCTGCCAACCCCTGGCTCCAAGACTGGGGACAAGAGGAGGAGATGGAGCTGAAACATAAGTGGGTCTCACACAGTCAGGCTCAGAGCTGAAGAGCTGCCACTGTTGGGCTCAGCCTGGTGAAAGTCAGAGGTGCTGCAGCCCCAATCCTTCCCCAAAGGTTTCCCACTCCCTCCCCCCGCAGCCGCTGGGCTCTGTGCATTCCAGTCGTGCTGGAATTGCTGCTCCTGGTGGCCAAAGCAGTGGGATGAGCCGGGCAGCCACGAGCTGTGCACATAAACGTTTGGTTGGCACAGGCTGTGCTGCACACGGAGTGCTTGGCCTTGGCTGCACGCTGTGTTTGGGACCGCTCTGAAAGGGTGCTGCTGTGTGCTGAGTGTAAGAAACACGGGAGGACGTGCAGAGGGACAGAACTCAGGGCCTCAGGGCGGGCTGCTCTGGGGGCAGGCAGTGGTGCCTGGCTGTTCCTGCAGCTCTGAGACGGCCAGGGGAACAGCCTCGTATTGCTGCCTGTTTGATGGCACTGCTTACAGAACTGCTTGTCTTCCTGCAAGCAGAACTTCTCAGCTTCCTTTTCCGTCATCTCCTGAGCAGTTATGTGCGTTTTCCCAGTGTCCTTTTCACTGCAAAACTATCAAAATTGCAGGGAGACAAAACAACGAGCTCCCAAGAACAAGTTTGTGTTCTTGGCTGATGTCTGGCAGCACTTGGGAGCTGACCTTGTGCAGTGGGTGCAGGCAGTTCAACTATTTGTATGTATTTGCTGCTGTTAACTTCGTTTAACTTGCATTCAAGGAGCACAGATTATTTAGGCTTCACTTTGTGCGTTTCCAGCTGAAATCATGAAGATGCTGTGGACGCAGCTTGGAAGGGAATCCCCTGGTCAGGTGCTGGGTCTGTAGCTGCTGTTTTGCAGAACCTTTATGCTATGCTGTAAAACAACTGCTTCAACACTGCTTTAAGAACAGACTAAAGAAAGACGTGATGTGGAGTTTATTAAGTCTGAGGTTCAGAACAACTTTTCTCTGTTGCTTCTCAAACTTCAGCAACTGCAGCAGGTGAGCACATGAACCAGAAGCTGTTATGGGTACCTGAGGAAGATTACCCTCATTAAGGGTGCTTTGGCTTTAAAAAAAAAAAAAAAAAAAGCCATGTCAAATCTCAGTGTAACTGTTTCTGTTCTGCCCCTCCAGTCTGACTCAGCAGCACCAGTCCTGATTTAGGCATGCGAGTTCCTGCAGTGACTCAGCTGGGAGCTTTAATCAGCAGCTGAAAAACTCTTTGAAGCGAATGCTTTCTGTAGTGCAGGGAGGTGGGAGGAAGGTCATCTGCAAAGAAGTGAGGTTGGGTTTCTGATCCAGTAATGCTAAACAGCTGTTATAATGCTGGTGGGGCAGTAGAGACCCTGGATTTGCTTTATGGCTGAATGCTGTAGTTGGTGTTGGCTTCCATGCGGGTGCTTACAGCCTGAGTGCTCTGCTGATCCTTGGTCCAGCTCCCACCCTGCTTTTTCCTTCTTTCATTCAGGTGGTAAACACACTCTCATTGTGCAGTATGTGGTAAGGAGGAATTCCTGTGAGGGAATTCTCAGCTCACAGAACACTTGAAATCATTCCCAGTATGAATTATCTTGATTAAAGCCTGGCTTTGATTTAAGTGTGCTGGTTTTTTATCAATGATTTGATCCCAGAGGCCTTAGCATTGCAGAACTTGTTGGCTGCAGCCCTTGTCCAGCAGTGCTGCTGGGCAGGCAGGGTTGAGCTCAGCTTGTTGCCTGCACAGTTCTGGGGCTGGAAGTTCTGATTCCGTGAGGGGACGATGCTGGGAGGCTCGGGTGGGTGAGTTCTGAGCACTGAGCAGCTGCAGGCTCTGCCAGAGGAGTTTGTCTGGAGCGCAGCCTGCATGCTGCAGCCCCAGGTGAAAGGGCAGCTGTGGGCTGTGCAGGTCGCTCTGGTGGGGCTGTGGGAGGAGCAGCTTTGAGCTGAGCTGCTGCAGGTACAGCACAGCCAGGGCCTCTGCCTGGAACAGCATCAGAACAGTTCTGTAATTCAGGGCGTGGGCTGATACTATCTGGATTTAAGGCAGGGCTTTGTTGGCTCTTAGAGAAAAACCTTCCCTAGGAGAGGTGCGGTGTAATCATACTGGTTTGATTGGCTGCCTCAATGCAGCTAACAGAAACATACTTGAAGTAGGCTTCCACAGCACCTTAACCAGGAGCTTTTCTGTAAAAGGAGAAATTTCTCAGAGCAACGTTTTATATATTAAGTCACAAAGTGCAAATATGTGGCTTGAGAACTGTCTGTGTCACGCGGAAATGAGCGGGTGATTGCTTTTCCTAATCAGAAAATCCTGGTTATTCCACCAGTGTGATTTGGTGGCATCACTTTGTGGATGTTCACACTGGAGGGCCTGAGTCAATTGTTAATGCTGCAGAAACCTGACTGCAGGTGTAGTGGATGCGCAGTTATTTGGTGCCAAAATACTACAAGTAAGGAATTTGTACGTGCTTGGTGTGCTGCTGTGTGTTTTGTTTGGTGTGTTTGCTCTTGCTACACAGTCTGGTGCCTACAGCATCTGCTGAGCTCGCAGCAGAGTCACAATCTTGCATCTGTGACATTCATCAGTTGCCATAGAAATGGAATGTATTGTAACAAACTGTTGTTTTGACACTGTCAGAGTATTGAGATAAATGGTGGGCTGGAAAAAGTCAATGGGAAGAAACTGAAGAGAGAAATGTGTGCGAGATGAAGAGAACCAGGAGAATGCTGCGTGCTGGTGTGTGTGGCTGTATGGCTGGCCTGCAGGGATCGCTCCTTGGGCTGGCTGAGCCTTTGGGTTTCCGTGCAGTTTAAGGTGGCTTTGAATGCTCCTGAAACCCAAAGCCTGGAACTCGGCCGTGCAGCACGCAGTGCTCTGAGCCACAGCCTCAGCTGTGCTGCTGTGCTGCGCCTGCACTGCGGGTTGTGCAAGTCCTGGGCAGCTGAGCTGCCATGTGGCATCAGGCTATTTATATGGCCTGTCTGTAGTCATGTGCGCCGTGCTAAGCCACTTAATCACTTTTTCCTCCTCCTTTTCTTAAAAACTACCTTTTAATTGTAGACCTTGCCTTCCAAAGGGAATTAGTAGATTTGTCTTTATTGGGGATTATGTTGCAGTCTTTCCAAATCAAGCTATCAGCTGTTATGTGGGTTTGCTACACTGTAAGTGACCAGAGGAACTTGATTTGTAGTGTTTTTTTTCTTTATCCATTGTTTTTCACAGGAGTGTCCTTGGTATTTTACCTAGGGAAGGGAATGCTCTCTTAAAAAGCAAGGACTGTGAAAAGAAGGGTTTTTTCCTTGATGTTCAGTGTCTCTAGTTCTTGAAAACCTCCTGAAAGTGTTTCCTCCTATGTTAATGTAGGAATTAACAGTTGTCTCTTCTCTCAGCAGCAGTGAGGGTTGGATGTTTGTACCTGGTGTGTGGCTGTGGGTGCTCCTGTAGGGCAGTGAGGCCACGGCATCCCTAGCTGATCTTGGGAGGGTTCCAGCCTGCCTGGAGACAGCTGATAAGGCAGACTTGGACTTTCTGTAAGCAGTGTGGCTCGGGTGCTTAAAATTTGAAGGAGGAGATTAACGAGGTAGGGCCACAAACTTTCACAGGATACTTCTTGCAGCAGCTGAGGACAGGTGGAAGAAAATAAAGATACTGATGTCCAGCTGACTGTCAGACAGGAGTAATTTGGTCTCGGGGTTAATTGGCAGTTTGCTGTGGATTATCATTGCTTCCTTCCTGTCCTGTGAAGGGCGTGGAACTGAAGTCAAACAGCCTTTCTCATGAATGGGAGAGAGGGAGTGTTTGGGAAGCTCTGTGCTCAAAACAGGGGAGCGCAGCTGGATGGAGCTGAGGAGTTGATGTCTGCTGTGCTCGGGTTGGTGCTGCTTGGTGCTGGTTGCTCTCACTGTGCCACACAGCGGTGTCACTTCCCTGAGCAGGAGGCAGGTGCACTAGGAGTCAAGTCTGCAGTTCTGCCTTAGGCAGATACGGAGCAGCAGAAGTAGGTCAGGTGCTGAACACTTGTGGTAATCTGGCAGGGCAAACACAGCCTGTGATACATACAGCTCATCTTTCTGCAGTGTTTTTAACTGGAATTGTAAGATGAAGACCTCTATTTACTTTGCACGCTGTTGGATTTCTGCCATGTGTATATTTCTGTATTTTGGTGCTCTCACAGCCTGCTCTAAAGCACTGCAGTTAGCACAGTTACTGAGCGACAATCTGGTTGTGCCCAGAACAGCCTGTGGTCGCTGTCTGAGTGTGGGGAAGGTGTCCAGGTTTGGGTTATGTCATGAGGATACGAGGGAAATGGCTTCTGCTGCAAACTGGAACTTGGCTGTGTGCCTCCTGAGGACAGCAAAGCTGTTAGAGCAGAAGCTTTACATATTGGTAAAGTGCATCAGTGCTGTGGAGTTGGATCCAGGTTCCTTTCAGAACAGTGAATCTGCTCTGCTTCCTATGAACTCGCTATTTTTGTCATAACACATCATTGGAGGTAATGTCAGGATCCCATTCTAATGCAGAACTTCAGCACGAAGTGATTAGAGGAGGCACTGCTTCACCTGCTCTGCGCCCTCTGTGTGCGTCGGCTCCTCTGCTTGAAGGGGACACGTGGGTGGAGGAGTGGAGAATGGCCAGAAACCTGAGGCCTTGTTTTTCCTCTTCACAGACAGCATGGCGAGTCCTGCGAAGGATAACTATCGAATGAAGTGCTACAAAAACAAAGCCCTAAATCCTGAGGAAATGCGTCGGAGGAGAGAAGAGGAAGGAATTCAACTGCGCAAACAGAAACGAGAGCAACAGGTAACTCCCACCTCGACTAGCTTGTGTACAGCCTTAATGCAGTCAAGGCTGTGCTGCTGCCTAACTGGGATCTTCAAGGATCTGTGCATTAAGGTTTGTTGGCAGTCCTGTTTATTTCTGTCCTGAGATCTCTTTTCCTCTGTACGTGATCACATGAAAAGCTCTCCAAGCACTTTGTCTTTGGGATACTAAAAGTTTTTGTTCACAGATCCTTGGTTTTAATTTTAATTTTTGGTTTTGTTAATTAGTAAATGGGTTTTTTTTGCTCCAAGAAGCGAGACAAGTAAGTGGAAGTATGGAGTGCGTGTATTTCTTGACTCTGAGCTGGTTTTTTTGGCTTGGAAGTCTGAAAGTGAGAGGTGATTCCCAGGTGATGTATGCGGCTCAGACTGAGTGGTTGCATCACCTGCAAGCTGCCCGCTCCCTGCTTTTCCCAACTTGTTAGGCCAAATTCTGCACTTGCTTATGCCAGTGTTTCACTGACTTGGGCGTTTGCATATCTGAGGGCGAGACTTAGCATGTTTTATTATCAGGGTTTGTGTGCCAAGCTAGTCTTCAGTGTGCAGAGCTGTTATTAATGACTGCTTTTTTTTAATTTGGATTGCACTTAGTCCATGGCTGACAGTATCTCGTTTGAGGAGCAGGAACATCTAGTTATGAAGACTGTTAAACAAACACTGCTTTCTAACAACTCTATTGCTGCGTTCTCTGCCAGCTCTTTAAAAGAAGAAACGTGGAATTAATCAATGAAGATGCCTCCATGTTTGATAGCCTCCTTATGGATTCCTACGTCAGTTCCACGACGTGTGGGGTAAGGTGCCTTTCCCTGTTGCAATCATGCCTTCAGACTTCATGCTGTGGACTGCATGGAACTGACAAACCTCCCCCTGTTTGTTTCCCCACTGTTGAATATGTTGCAAATGTTCCTACAACCACCTGGAGAAATGTGCCAGGAACCAAACTGTGTGTTAATCTCAAATAGCACATCTTTGGAGTACTAGCTAAGAACATAACTGTGGCAGGCTGTCTTGACTGTGTTACCTGAAATAAGCTTAATGTGACACGGAATCACTGTTCTGTTTCCTTTCCATCCTTTAAGGAGGGAGTGATCACAAGAGAGATGGTAGAGATGCTTTTCTCAGATGACCCTGATCTACAGCTAGCAACAACACAGAAATTCAGGAAGTTGCTTTCTAAAGGTAAAGATAACATTCCCACCATGAGGTCTGACATAGCCTTTATTTAAGTGTTTGTGTACTTGCAGTGTTGTACAGAAGTGTTGTGTTTGAGGAAGGCTATAATATTAAGTTTGGATGAATTTTACTGAAAGCTCTTCTGGAGAGCTGATCTACAGTACAGCTTGAGACATTCAGGTCAACAATAGCTCATGCTTGTTATTTGCCTGTATGAGACCTGTATACTGTTTTGATCTTGCATTGCTATTTCAGAGCCCAATCCTCCAATAGATGAAGTGATAAACACTCAAGGAGTGGTGGACAGATTTGTTGAATTCCTGAAGAGAAGCGAAAATTGCACACTACAGGTAAAGGAGACTGTTAAACCCTGACAGCTAAGCAGTGTGAATCTGTGGGTGCTATGGGAGAAGGGTGATGTCTGGAACCCAAACTATGCAGACTGTGATGGTGAAGCTATTGTTAATGCTTGAAAGGGGGGGAAAAAAAATCTGCTGTCTGGCCCAGGGCCACGTAGTGTAAGGGAATTCCCTTCAAGAAGTGAATGAAAGCCTGCACTCAGATTAAGACACGAGTGGCAGAAGTAGATCCTTGGTGCTCAGCTGGTCTTGAACTCAAGGCATCTTTCTGCTAGTAGCAGGATGAGGGTGTGCTGGAACTGGTTGCACTGAATAGATACAACTTTTTATTCTGTGTATTTATGGGCTGTACATCTTCTCTTCATGCTAGGAAATGGCCATATGAGTAAAATAATGTGATGTGAGTGACATTTAACAAGTGGTAGCTTTGCTTTTCATTCTTTGAGAAATTGTAATCTCTGAGAAGGCATCTAGCAGAGATGTTTGTTTTCTAATTGTTCAAGAAAATATTTTAAGTACTGAGGTGTTTTATTTGGGGAATACTTTCTTAACTTTTTTAATAGAAGAGAGTTTATGCTGAAACTTAATGGCAGATATCCTGCTACATCTGGGTTATTTTATTCACTCTCCTCATTTCTGCTTTTTTCAGTTTGAGGCAGCATGGGCACTGACGAATATTGCATCAGGAACTTCCCAACAGACAAAAATAGTTATTGAGGCCGGGGCAGTTCCTATCTTTATAGAGCTGTTAAACTCTGACTTTGAGGATGTTCAAGAACAGGTAAGGCTCACTTCTTACTTTTGGGGTTAGGGGAAGAACCACACGTGACTGAAACTCAGTGTTTAAAGTGAGTGACTAGTGTGGCAGCTGGCTGCAGTCTGCAAACTGAAGAGCCTATTTCTTGGAGTTCCAGGAAAGTGCTTTCTTAGCATACCACCTTTTTCTTCCTCTGTTCAGGAACTGTGTGAATGCTAAAACTGTTGCTATTTCCTTTCAGGCTGTCTGGGCATTGGGGAACATTGCTGGAGACAGCTCTGTGTGTAGAGATTATGTCCTTAACTGCGCTATCCTTCCTCCCTTGTTAATGTGAGTAGCCATGAATACTTGCCAATACAGTTCTTGAAGTCCCATTGTACTGCAGCAGAGCAATATTTGAGCTGGGCAAATGGATTCCCTAGAAATGTGATGATGGGAATCAAACTATTGGTACCAGATGATAAACTGGCAGTTCAGACAAGTATATGATTAATAGTGGGACTTGGTAGATAACATGCCTTCTCACAAACCTTTACACTGCTCTGAATCTGAAGTGGGTGCTGCTGCAGTGTGCTTGCCTCTCTGAAGTCACAGGGCTTGCTGTTTCCCTGTGTCCTCGAACTACCTGCTCTTTGTGCTTGTGCTGTGAATTTCACGTGCTGCTCTGAGTGGAGTTCTGTAGCACTGAGGAAAGGGAGCAGGTTTGCACATCACTGAGCTCTCAGGTGTAGTACATGCTCACCACAGCCAGAAGATATGGCTGCTGAGAGTGTACTCTCACTGCTCTGGAAATAACTTCTTGTTTCCGCTCATCCTCGGCAAAATGATGCTTTGTCACAAATGATTTGGTTTGCTAACTTGTACTTCTGTCAGTCCCTTTTTGGCAATAACTGCCTGAGCCTTTCTCAGCCCACAGGATGTGCTGTCTTCACTGCAGAGTAGAGGGACAGCACTTTGTGTCAGTTGGTGACCAGAACTATCTGACAGATTGGGGTGGGAGCGTCTGGGCGAAATTGAGAGTGGAACTGCATTTGATTGTCTTGCACTTCCTTCTGCAACCTATCTAATATAGTTTGCTTTCCTGTTCCGTGTCACTGAGCTTTAGGAAACAAGCTTTTTATTCTAGGAGCAGTTGCATTTTGCTTCTCTTTATGCTTATTGACAGCCTCAGGTGACAAACAGTGTGGCAGATGGAATAGTGGATTGACTTCCTTACAATTGTTAGGTTTTTTTCCTCTTGCTTTGTTTCCTTTGTTAATTTCTAGTAAGTTATGCTTTGTGCTGAGGATATAATTCATGGTAATTGTCTCTTTAGGCTCCTTACAAAGTCCACCAGGTTGACAATGACACGGAATGCTGTTTGGGCCTTGTCAAACTTGTGCAGAGGAAAGAGTCCACCACCTGAATTTGATAAGGTGAGAGTAAATGCCTTGCTGGCAGATGGGAAGGGGAGACACCCAGTCAAGATGTTTGTCTAAATTATTTTTGGCCATTGGACTTCTGCAAGATGTTCTGGGAGGGAGCAGGGTGAGGTTCTTCCTGCTGAGGTTGATCTTGCTGTTCAGCAGATGTTTGAGTGCCTGTTTAATATTCTGCTAGCCTGCATGCATGGCTCTGTTGGCAGCCCATCAGGTTACCCAGGTGAGGGGCAAACCCGATCTTCCATGCAAGTAGCACATACTGTGAGCTTCCCTTCTTGTCATGAGCCGTGGAAGTTTGCAGCTTTGCTCAAAATGTGACTGGAAATTCAATTCTGAGATGCCTAGATGCTACAAGATAAGGCTTCTGTAACTACATAGCAGCTTTCCCCTTCCGTGGTGCTCCAGTGGCACTAGCAAAAGATTCTGCTGGCTCTTCAGATCCATCTTTCTTTTTTCTTTTTTTTTTTTTTGTAGAATTAAAACAATTTAAGACCAGTGTGTGCTTTTGTTTTGTGTCTTTTCCTTCAATTGAAAGTGTGCTCATCAAAGCTGGAAGCCTACAGGGAAGGGGAAAACATTAAATTGTGTGTAAGTGTGAATACACTTATGACGGCTTCTGCTCCGGATGCTGAACTGCTTAGGGATTTGGAAGAACAGTGTTCTTAGATAAGAAATCTGAGGAGCTTTTGAACTGCAGCATACATAGTAGCACCTCATCAGGAGTCCACACTGCAAAGAAGCTGCTGAATTTAGGAAGGAAAGTGTGGATGTTCAATATTGTTATCTTGCCAGTCAGCACAGCCGCGTGGTGTTTGTGTGTGAATGTGGTGGTGGTGCACAGAGTGTGACTAACCTTGTGGGGTGGTACTGTTGTAGGTATCTCCCTGCCTGCCGGTGCTGTCCCGACTATTATTCAACAGTGACTCTGACTTGCTGGCAGATGCGTGCTGGGCTCTTTCCTATTTATCAGATGGCCCCAATGAGAAAATTCAAGCAGTTATTGACTCGGGGGTGTGTCGGCGACTGGTCGAGTTGTTAATGTAAGTATCTTGTCTTGCTGCCTCAGCCCAGCAGGTGACTGAGCCTGAGTTCATATCATAATGCATCAGTGTTCCCTGCCTCGTGGGTGTGGGGTCCAGGTCCTGGGAGCCAGCAGACTGCTGGAGCAGATACCTGAGAGGGTCTGAAGTGGGTTGAGAGCTGCAGTTATTGGCCTTAGAGAAGACACATCTTTCACTAGGAAGAATGTACCAAGCAGAGGTTCAGGCTGATAGTTAGACTAGACTGTAAAAAGAGAGAGGACTGAGTATTGCCCCAATTAGCACAATCTTTGGTCAGGAGTGTAATGTAAATATTGAGATCTCTGTGCTGAAGATAAGTTGGGATGTAAAGGATAACACTGCCTTTGTCGTAAGTTAGTTTTAAGCTGGGGTGGAATCCAAAGTAAATAATGCAGATGGGAGACTTGGAGGGTGGATTTTGTAAGCACCCAGGCGTGTGGTCAGATCTATTTGTTCTTATGCTTGTGCCATCTTTCCTGCAGGCACAACGACTACAAAGTGGCCTCCCCAGCATTGCGAGCGGTCGGCAACATCGTGACAGGAGATGACATCCAGACCCAGGTGAGGGAGGGATGGTCTTACAGATGCAGCTGAAGGGAACGCAACTCCTGCTAATGATTTTGTGGAAATTGGGCAGAATGTCTCTGTTATGTATCTGCAGCAAGTTCTTCTTAAAACCAAGGTTTACCAGAACACTCACTCCTCTTGGTTTTTTGCTACTCTAAACAGCGTAGTTTTGGCGCAAAGAAAAGTGTGATTTTGAGATACAAAGGAGATGGAGTAGTATACGTTTCCTTATTGCACAATGCTGCCTTTCCTTCCCTCTTCTTTAAAAGGTTAGGGAGAGAAAGGGCAGTGTCCATACAGCATATCCACTGTGTGAAAGCAAAGTATTTAGTTCTCTACTGGCAGCCTAACTCCTGTTTTCTTTCTGAAAAGGTGATTCTGAACTGTTCAGCCCTGCCTTGTCTCCTTCATTTATTAAGTAGTCCCAAGGAGTCCATCAGGAAAGAAGCCTGCTGGACCATATCTAACATCACAGCAGGAAACAGAGCACAAATACAGGTACAGCATTGAGTCTTCCCTAGGTCACTTATAATAATCCTAGATCCCATGTTCAGCATTAATAATGAGATCACTTCAGTTTTTCCCTTGTCTGATGCTTTGTGGCAGTTTATTGTGCATTCTGTACTCTGATGTTATTGCAGACTTGCTGTTTCTGTCCATCTGCCAAATGAGCTAAAAAAAAAAAAAGCTGATTGTACCTACAAAGGCTGGGCTGGCATGAGTCTGTTGGGTTGGATCACTGGAAAAGAGATACAGCCCCAATTTCTCCATCCTCAATTAGAAGTATACGTTTGAAAGGCTTTAGCTTGTTGAGTTTTAATTATCCTTTTAGTGACCAATGTACAAAGGCAGAGATAAATGATGAAAGCATTCCTGCAGTATTGATGCAATGATAGGGATCATCTGTGTGCTGGTTACAGACTCGATTATCTTGTGTTAATGCGATTTGGCTGAGGAATGGCTGAAGGCAGTGGCTCGGGAAGTACTTTCTGAATAGGAAAATGGAAGTAGAGATTTCTTTCAGGTGCTTAATAGCCTTTTTAGAAACCACGTTGCCCGTTCAAACACTACTTGCTGTTCTCTCTCCTCAGGCAGTCATAGATGCAAACATCTTCCCTGTGCTGATAGAAATCTTACAGAAAGCAGAATTCCGTACAAGGAAGGAGGCGGCGTGGGCTATCACAAATGCAACGTCAGGAGGAACTCCTGAACAGATCAGGTATTCCCTGTGGCTCTGAGAGCTACCATACATTTAGACATTTCACTTTCCTTCATAGGAACTGCTGAAGCAGTGAGGAACTAATCTGGGGAACCCCAGGGAGAAGTGCCTAAGATGCATGCCAAGCCAATTAGATCCTCACTGCTCAGAATTTCATTATCACCTGGATGTCAGAAGGAGCTACCTTTAAAATCAGAAAAATAAATGGGGTGGGAGGTGTATATATTAATAAATCTTGTAAAACAGCAAAAACATAATTTTTATGTTAAAGAAACTTATTTTAGCTTGAATCGCTTGTCCTGTTCTCTGTAACTGAGCAATGGTGGTGCTTCCTATCCTGGAAGGTAAATGTATGTTCCTGGTCATCTCTTTTAGATACCTGGTCAACCTGGGTTGCATCAAGCCTCTTTGTGACCTCCTTACTGTCATGGACTCCAAGATTGTTCAGGTGGCATTGAATGGCCTGGAGAACATCCTGAGGCTTGGAGAGCAGGAGGCCAACCAGAGCGGGACGGGCATCAACCCGTACTGTAGCATGATAGAGGAGGCCTATGGTAGGTTCTGGTGCTGCTGACTTGGAAAACAGTAGAATATATTGGAAGGTGTCTACTGGTTTTGTTTGCTTTTCTGATGAGTTAAGCGGTTGGGTATGCTCCAAATTAGCTGGTATTTGCTCCAATAATAGATCACAGTCTTTTTAGAATGTTATGATACAGCATAAGATAATGTCAGGAAGCAAATACTATTGTACTTGTGATCCAGGTTTCCTAGACCTAGAGGCCAGCCTGGTAATTGTGGCTCACGCTGTTGGGAATATTAATCAATGTAAGCTGAGCTGAGCTAAGACCCACTTCTTGGATCTTTGATTTGTCTAATTGTCCCCAGCTGTGCACTGCAAACACATGATGGAAATCCAGAGAGACTTAGCTTTTCCCTGGAGAGACCTAATTTGGTGGTTTTGTCCTGTTCCTAATGCTTTGAGGAACAGTTCCTATTTTGGTCTGAAATGCCCTGTATCCTATCAGTGGCTTTTTTTTTTCCTTGCCCTCTCACTGACTGTTACGCTGTGTGTCCTGGTTCCTCCAGTAAGAATAATTCTTGAAATTCCTGAGTACGTAGTGCTTGGATTCTTTCTGTTCAACATTGGATTTAATTAGAACAGCAAAAGCTGTTGCTACCCTTCTGTTGGAGGCTACTGGGACGGGCCCTGCTTCCTTTCCCTGCAGCTGCAGAGCTGTTCACAGCCAGTGATACAAATTTCACTGACCAGTTCAGTGCTTGCAGTTCTTTGCTGGAGACTCCCTGCTTAGCTGCATTAGCTAAACCTACAATTGGAAAGATTAATGGTTGCTGATATAGATGAAATCCACAAACAACTCTGGAGAAACGGGAATGTTAGCTTTAGCTGTCAGTGCTGCTCACAAAATGCTGTGTAACACAGACAAGCAATGAATGGGGGAAGGGTGGAGGATGGATTGGGACAGCTTGAATGTTAGGGTCTCCTGTTTCATCACGTTCCACTTTTGTCTTTTCTAAGGCTTGGATAAGATAGAGTTCCTGCAGAGCCACGAGAACCAAGAGATCTACCAGAAAGCCTTCGATCTGATTGAGCACTACTTTGGAGTAGAGGATGACTCCGCTTTAGCTCCCCAGGTAGATGAGAACCAGCAGCAATTCATCTTCCAGCAACCCGAAGCCCCTATGGAAGGCTTCCAGCTATAGTGTGCCCCAGGCAAAAAGACCACCACAAATTTGCCAGAAAGCAACTGGGAGAAGCTGATTGTCCCATTCCTCCTTGCAAACGGAAGGCTGAACACTCACTCCACCTGTTAGGAAACAATTCTTCCTTCAAACAACTAGAAAGAGTGCTTTATCCTCATGAAGAAAATGGGATGTCTTGCACGTTTTTTTCTTTTTGCTGCTGCATACGTGTCTTTAAAGCAGGCATCTGGGTGGAGGAAGGACACTGAGGTAACAGATTGCACCTCTTGGGTTTTTTTTTTTCTTTGTGGTGATCTCTCCCAAATGTCACTTCTTACCTCGGGTACTTAACTGAGATTTCAGTGTTGGGTTGGGTAAGAACAGAAATAGAAAGTGAGTATTCTGACAAGAATAATTCTGGAAACCTGGGTTGATCTATTTAATTTTTTTGCACATGTTACTCTTATTAAAGACTCTAATTTGCCAAGAGCAAAGTTTAGCCCTGGCCTTTCTGCGCTCCTCTTGCAGCGGACAGTCCTGTCAGAGCTGGGCTGAGTTCCCCAAACGTGCTGTAAATGGACAAAGAAGCAAGAGGCTTCTGGGGGAAGGATCCTTCCCCGTCTCTAGATATTTTTTTCCTGAAGAACTGCTGGTAGTATTTACAAGGATAAAAAGCACCAAGACCCCAAAGCTGGTCGCTGCGAAGAGGGCGGGATGCGGGGGTGGTTCTGGAACAGGAAGCACAGCTGCCACGGCACAGGCTTTGCATTGCTACTGATGGAAGCTGCAGGACTGCTGAAACGGCGGAACCCATCTTCATCTTTACTTGAATCCTCCCCAGGGCTGCGTTTTGGGCGCTGTGCTGCGTGCGGGGTGAGCTCAGCAGCGCCGCGCCTGGGGCTCCAGGTTTACCTCCTGCTCACAGTCAGAACATGTACATTTCCTTCGAGAAAAGAATCAAATCTCTGTATTTTTTATATTATATATAGGTAGCTATTTGTCTAATTGGGCTCCAGAGAAAACTATATATAAAACTTCTGTAATTTATGTAAATAGAGCACTGTGAGGCAGGTGTGCCTGGAACCGCCGGCCCCGAGCTCGCTCCTCGTCGTCCTGCTGCTGCTCCCGTCCGCGCCGCGTAGCTCCGTCTTCAACCGCTCTGCTGGGCGCCAAGGTTTGCTCCTCACAGCCGCGGGGCCGAGGCCGGGAGGGGTGGGCCGGGCCTGCGTGCCCCTCGCCCCGCGTTGGGTTTGCTGAGTCCGTGACTGTTGAACGAATAAAAACCTCTGTGCAGATGAGCGCTGTGCCGGAGCGTCTGTGGAGCGGGCGGGCGGCGCGGGGCGGAGCCGCGAGGGCGGCGAGTTCCCGCCCGGGCCGCGCGCGGGGCACGCCGGGAGCTGTAGTGCGACGGGGGGGGCGGGAGTCGCTCTCGCGGGGCACGCCGGGAGTTGTAGTCTCGCGGGGCTTGCCGCTTCTCGCCGCCGTCTCCCGGCAGCCCCCGCGGCTCCTCGTCTCCGATTGGTTGGCGGCGCGGGGCGGCGCCTGCGCGATGCGCGCACGCCGCGAGGCCCGGGCCGGAGCCGCTTCCTTCAGCGCGGGGCGGCGGGGCCGGCGGGGGGCGCGGCGCTCTTCTTCCCTCCCCCTCCCCGCCGCTACACCGCGGCGCCGCCGGCCGCCCGGCGCTCATCGACTGAGGAGAGGCGGCCGCCGACGTCAGAGCCCTGCCGCTGACGCCACGGGGGTACGCGCGTGACGTCATCGCGGTGCCGCGGGAGGAGGGGAGGTGTTGCTGACGTCACGGGGGTCACGTGGGGCGTCGGAGCGGCCCGGGGGCTCCGGGCGGGACCGGGGGGAGGGGCGGCGCCGCGGCCGGGGCTCCTCGGGGCGGCTCCGCGATGCCATCCCCGGGGCGCGGCGGGTTCGGCTGCCCCGGCTCCGCGTCCCGCCCGGGGCGGCAGCGCACGGCTCGCCTTCAGCCGCGGTTTCTCTTCCAGCGGGGCTCGGCGAGGCTGAGCGGGAGGCGGCGCGGCGATGAAGAACCAGGGCGGCGAGACCAAGGCGGCCCCGCGGCCCGCGGCCAAAACCAGCGGCGCTCCGGGGGAGGAGGGCGACCCGGCCGAGCCCGGCGCAGCGCTGGAAGGTGGGCGGCGCGCGGGGCTGCCGTGCTGGTGCTGCTTCTGTACGAGGGGTCCGTGCTGTGCGGCTGGTTGATTTGCGCCGCGGTTCCCGGGGCAGGAAATCCCGCTCCCTTGCTGTTCCCACGTGCGCGCGGTTCCACATCGGCAGCGCTTCTTTCCCGCAGCGCGGAGTTGATTCTGACTGGGATCGATGGGGTTGGCGTCGCTCGGTCCTCCGGGCTCACAGAAAGCTGCCCCTCAGCGATTGGTTCTGTTAGTGGCGCTTTGTAACACTCGTTCTCTGTAAGACAAAAGCGGGTGATCGAGTAGGTGTGTGGCTAAAGGTAACCTTGTCCCGTGTTCTGGTAAACGTGGAACGTAGGAAACGCACGGCAGTTGAGTGAGGTTAATGACTGACTGCTGTAGGCTCTGCTTGGAAGGAATTTTGGATGCGGAGAAGTGCTGAGGGGCTGCTGGGGATGGGATATGCTTGATCTGAGCCAGTACAGCTGCTCGTATATGTAAGGAAAGAGGCTAGCTCAGATTATGAAATCTATTGTTGTGCAAAAAGGCATGGCTCTGGGGATATTAGCAGGCTGCTGCTCCGAGGGAAAGCTCACACACAACCTGCTTTCGTTAGAGGGTGGTGGGGAGGGGGCAGTTCTTGCTCTTGACAGATGTCAGGGGCTTGGTCATGCTCTCGTGATCAAAAGAGAAGCTGTTAGGAATGCACCTCCATTGTCAGGGCAGCTGGCTGGAGGCACAGCCTGAACAAAGCGGCTTGTGAGCTGGGAGTTTAGCAGTGAGGTGCTCGGGGAAACCTTCCCTTCGCTGGTGTTTGTAGAGAGCAGAGAACAGACAGTGTGGGGAAGCATCACGCTTTTGTGCTCGTATCTCCCACAGCTCCCCTCGCACAGGAGGACACAAAGTCCTCCCGGCCTGCCGTCCGGGATGTCTCTGAAGAGCTGAGCAGACAGCTTGAGGACATCCTGAACACGTACTGCGTGGATGCCAGCCAGGAGGGTCCGGGCGAGGACGGCGGGCAGAGTGAGCCTGTGGAGCCAGAGGAGGTGGAGAAGTGTCGCAGTGAGTCCCCGAGGAACGGAGATCAGGAGTCAGGCAGCCCTGAGATGAATGGGGAGAAGGAGGGCACAAAGGGGACTGAAGAGTTTCGACCCGGAGAGGAGTGTGGCGAGCGGGATCAGAAGAAGGCTCAGGAAAAGAAGAAAGCCAAGGGCCTAGGTAAGAGGTTTCCTGCTGTGGCTGTGCTGCCAGCCTGAGAACTTTGGTGCAGACATGGATTTTATACTGCACTGAGTCCCACTAGAGAGATGAATGCCTTAGGTGTGTGTTTGGATATAGCATGGCATCTTATTCTTGTGGCATGCAAGGAAACATAGAGTGTTGCAAAGACCCTGATTAATCCTGAGTGCTGCTGCAGCCTCTGAATTGTGCAGATTTCCCCTCTGCTGGACACAGCTTTGTCTGGTCAAGCCCATTGGTGGCTCCCTACTCTGATAACCAGGTCTCTCCTCAGCTGCTTCAATTGTTCACCTGCTGTATGCAGTGAGGTCTGGGGGACAAACCCCAGTAGGCACTGGAGATGGGAACTCTGGGCCAAGGTGGCCACAGATGTGAGACCTGGTTTGTCTCTTCTGTCCTTACCTTTATAAGCCAGAACTCTGTGTAAGTGATGTTATCTTTCTGTTTAATTCTATGTCTTGCTCCAGGCAAAGAAATCACTTTGTTGATGCAGACCCTGAACACTCTGAGCACGCCAGAGGAGAAACTGGCAGCACTGTGCAAGAAATACGCTGAGCTGGTGAGTCCTTGTTTCTTCATTCCAGCTTTGGGGCAGTGGGAGGACACTGCTGCAGCGAGCACTGGGACAGCTGGCCACGTGCTCAGAGCTCTGCTCTGTTTAAGCAGTGTATGCATGGAGGTCCTGAAGGGATGTGCACTTCTCACAAATTCCAGTAGGATGCTAATTCAGGAAGGAGAAAGGCTGTGTGCAGGGAGACCTTGGGTTCTGTGTTGATCTTACTGTGCTTCTGTATTATAAAGCTCTTGTCCTTCCCTCAGAGTAGTCAGAACACCTGTTTGGTCTCTGTGTGCCCTTACGTGGGCACAGCATTGCCCTGGTCTTTTTTGCTGCATCTCTGCCCTCTGCTCTCCTACCGTAGCTGGAAGAGCACCGTAACTCCCAGAAACAGATGAAGATTTTGCAGAAGAAGCAGACACAGCTGGTGCAAGAGAAGGACCACCTGCAGAGTGAGCATAGCAAGGCCATCCTGGCCCGCAGCAAGCTGGAGAGCCTGTGCCGTGAGCTCCAGAGACACAACCGCACCCTCAAGGCAAGTGTCTCCTGGGACTGCTGCAGGAGCTGCTTCATCCCAAACACTTGGGTTGCCTGCTGCAGGACTCTGAGCCACTGTGACAAACTTACTTTTGGGAGTGGTTGCCCACAGTCTGATGTCCAGAGCAGGGCTTCAGTTTTGCTGTTTATCTGTCATCTTGCGAGGGTTAGGAGAGGAAGGAACTGACCCATGTGGTCTTATTTTGAGGGAAGCGATGTTTTGTGGGTTTGCTCAGCTCTTGGAGTGAAGAAGCTGCCAAGCAGTGGCCTGCGGTGCCTTCCTGATTGATACCAGCAGCAGTGAGAAGTTGGGTGGGTTCAGATCATCATGGCCAAGGGAGGTTTGTTCACCTGCCTGCCCAGCACAGAAGCTGATGTGGCCTTGCTGTCTGCCCTTCTAACACAGGAGGAGGGTGTCCAGCGAGCACGAGAGGAAGAGGAGAAACGGAAGGAGGTGACATCCCACTTCCAGGTGACACTGAATGACATCCAACTCCAGATGGAGCAGCACAACGAGAGGAACTCCAAGCTGCGCCAGGAGAACATGGAGCTGGCAGAGCGGCTCAAGAAGCTCATTGAGCAGTATGAGCTGCGGGAGGAGGTGAGTCAGGCCTTGCAGCCTGCTGTGGTGCACCCATTCTGCACTGTGGACTGTTTCCAGGGCAGAAACTGCTGCTGGAGGGGAGACAAAGCCCTTGGGCTTTGAGGTCATTCCTTGGGATCTGTGCCACACGGGTAGCAGAGCCCTGGCCTCGCATGTCAATGACTGGTGGCATTTCCCTTGGCAGCACATTGATAAGGTGTTCAAACACAAGGACCTGCAGCAGCAGCTCGTGGATGCCAAGCTCCAGCAGGCACAAGAAATGCTGAAGGAAGCAGAGGAGAGGCATCAACGGGAAAAGGACTTTGTAAGTCTTAGTGATTCTCTACTGGTTATAAGCACTTAGCTGTTTGCCCTGTTTCTTTGTGGAGGTCGGGTTCATGAGTGCAGAGCCCTTACCAGATGAGGCCATCTCAGCTGTGTATGCAGCAGTGACCATTCGCCAGCTGCCTCAGAAGCAAGGCTGGAGCCCTGTGCTGTTGTTGGTGTTCCTCCCAGACCCCTGCTGACTCCAGGCCAAGCACCAGCAGTGTATGGCATATTGAGAGCTTTCCCCGGTGGCAGCGAGGTAACTGCTTTTGCTCTTTGCCAGCTGCTGAAGGAAGCTGTGGAATCACAGAGGATGTGTGAGCTGATGAAGCAGCAGGAGACTCATCTCAAGCAGCAGGTGAGTTACCTGGTCTGTGTGTGCTCAGCCTGGTCATTTATTTTTTCCCTTCCTCCTTCAGCAGGGAACAGCCTGAATTTCCTTAATGTGAAAAACACAGAGGCAGGATTGCTCTTGAGTATGATATTTGTGTGCCTGTGTGAAGCACAGTGTGAGATGAAACCTTCTTCAGCTTCTCCTCCTTGTGAAAGAAAGGAGCCCTGTTTTTACCAGTCTGTTTCCCAGTGCTTGGAGCAGTTGTGTGATCACAGTTTGCTGAATCAGACCCAGCAAGTGCTTCCTGCCAAGGCCAGGAGATGTTTGGAGACACATTGCTCTCTAAGGGTGTTTCCCTAAGAAAGAAGAAATATTGTTCCACATTCTACAGTACCTAATACTGGCAGAGCAGCCCCTTGCTGCAAGTTTGTTAGTCATAAAGTCCAGTCACAAGATGACTAGCTCACTTCTTGGCTGACATCTCCCTGCTCCTGGGAAAGGCCATCAGGAGGTGCCATGTTGAGGAGCTGTAACTGTCTTTCCCTACAGCTGGCTCTCTACACAGAGAAGTTTGAAGAATTCCAGAACACCCTTTCCAAAAGCAGTGAAGTGTTCACAACATTTAAGCAGGAAATGGAGAAGGTAGGTATTGCTGTTGCTGCCTGCAGTGTGTGCGTGGGCTAGCGGGCTGGGTGCTGCCTGTCTCCTCACTTATTCTGTGAGCTGGATAAGCAGCTGCTGTGTTGTTTTGTTGAGTTATGCTGGCATTAAAATCAGGCACAAACTAATTGCTGGTAGAAGGTGGATGCTGGACTTGTGGGGTGATGGCTGTACCCCTCCTGGATCAGAAAAAGCAGTGCTACCACTATCTCCTGGTTTATTGTTGGTGTTTCCCACTAATGTAGCTGGCTGCAGTAGGACAAGGAGATGTTTCCCAGGACAGCAGGATTTTGCTGTCTGCCCTGGGAAAGTGGGTGTCCATTTGCATATACACAAGACGTACCTGACTGCATTATTCTGGCTTATTAGTTGCCTTTTCGTCACTGTTCTGCAGATGACAAAGAAAATTAAGAAGCTGGAGAAGGAGACCACAATGTACCGTTCTCGCTGGGAGAGCAGCAACAAGGCTCTCTTGGAAATGGCTGAAGAGGTAGGGAGGCTGTGGCTGTTCTGTGCTGAGGCAGGCAACTGAGTGGTCTTTCCATTTGAGCTTCCCTCTGAAGTTTCATCTCTCTTCCTTTCTGCCTTCGTCCCCGGTGTGGTAGATCTGAACTGCCTCTCTATTTGCAGAAAACCCTTCGGGATAAAGAGCTCGAGGGGCTTCAGATGAAAATCCAGCGCTTGGAGAAACTGTGCCGAGCCCTGCAAACAGAGCGCAACGACCTCAACAAGAAGGTGCAGGACCTGTGTGCCCACACACCCCGGGCAGACGTGGACCTGACAGAGCCTCTGAAGGACCCATCCCAGGAGAGCTCTGAGGCAGGAGCTGGAGGTGCCCCAGCAGAGCAGCGTCTGGTTGAGGATTGCCTTCACTCGGGAAAGCCGACACACAGCACAGATCCTGCAGAAAGCCTTGGAGAACTGAGCATAGGAGCCTTGGGGCAGAGTGGGACTGAGGAAGGCACTCAGGGTGCTGACTGAGCCTGCTGTGTGGTAGGCGGAAGTAGGGTGAGGGAGGGTAGCATGAATGTTTCCAGGCTCCATCTGAAGCCCTTCTCCTGGTCCTTGGACAGGTGCAAGAGGACGGCCCTCCTTGGGCTATGACATTTCCTAGCTTAGGCTTTTGGAGAGTTTTTAAAATTATATATATATATATATACACATAGATGATGTGTGTGTGTGTATATATATATATATGATATATAAAATATGTGCAGGGCAACATACACTTTATATATGAATATATATGAAACCTAGAATGACCCACTTCCCTGCGTGTGTGTGAATAACTAATATATGGAGACTCAACTGATTGTCCCTTTCGCTGGAAGACCTTGTCATTGGCAGGCTGCGACTCCCCTAAACTGTAGTGCAGCACAGGAGAGGAAGGGCATGGATCGGCCCAAGCCCTCCGCCTCGTGGCACTGGGACAGCAGGACACGTTGCTTCCTCCACCTTCACAGCGATGCTGTCACACTGGGTGAAAGCAAAAGAACTGAGCAAGGGAGAACATAAGCATTTCCCAGCGCTGGATTCTCCCTCCCTGATCTGCATCAGGCAGGAGGTAGCTCCTGGACTTGCTGTTGCTTCCTCACGCTCTGGCTGGCAGCTCTCTCTTGAGCAGAACAGTCCAGTTCCCCTCTTGTATGGGTTTTGTGTATTGAATGGGGACAGAAAAGCAGAGAAACGGGACACCTGATTTGCCCAGGCACCCTTTGCTCTTCCTAGAACCTGCCAATGTTTCAATAGCCTTATGATTCACAGTTGCCTCTTTGCTATACGCACATGTGCACAAGTATATTAAACAGTTAATCCAAAGGTCTAATTCCGAAGTGTTTTGCACAAGCATGTGTGATTAGTTGTGCAAGGGGATAGGGACGTCCTTGTAACTGAACCCCTCTGCCCTGCCTCAGGACCATCCCTTGGTGTTGAATGGGGTGGTCTTGGAGGTATTCATGGAGCTGGAGCTCCAGGAGGATCAAACTTGTGGCTGCTCCATGACCTGCTGCTGAAGCTGAATCGCTGGGACCGGCTTGAGGATGGTGGTGTGGCTGATTCCTTCTGCAGTGTCAGACCCTGCAGACAGGCTGTGCTGGTGCTGCCTGGGCCTCTGCTTCCCCTCTAAGCTTTTTCAGACCAGCATCTCCCAAATGCTGGCAGTCACCAAGTCTGAGCTGCTGCTGCTGTGGTTCTCAGAGGGCTCTGATGGGCACGTGAGGCAATCTGGCACAGGACTTGGGGGATTTCTCCTTAGTTTCTCAAGACTTCCTTTTTTCACTACTCTTTTGGGAAACATCTACTTGCTTGAAAACCTCTTGTTGCAGCTTTTCTTTATAGCAGACTATTTTCAGCACTGCCTTCCTTTTGCTTGAAGCTGAATTGAGCTGGCTGAGCTGTTCATCACAGTGAATGCTTCCGGCAGAACAGTTTTGGTTTCTTTTCTGGCGACAGCTGCTCTTGCATCTTCTCTGCAACTGTTCAGCGCCCTTGCGAAGGACCTGCAGTCGGAGCTGCCTGCAGGAGGCGCTTCTGCCTCCCCTTTATTCCCTGGGGATTCCGGAGAGCTCGGGTCTAAGGGAAGGGGCTGTTGAGTCTAGTATAGCTCACAGAGCCGCGGTCTTGAGCATCCACTGCGGTGTGCTCCCGGGGTTTTCTGGGCTGCTTCAGGCCCTGCACTGCCTGCGTTGCTTCTTCCTGTACGGGTTGCACCTGACTTGGGCAGGAGCGTTCTGGAGCAAGTGAATGTGGTGGGAGAGAAGGCTGCAGCCTGGCTCTGGATTTCTCTTTCCTGCCCTTTCAGTCAAAGAAAAACCTCTTAGAAAATCACAAACACTCTCACTTTATTTTTTTCTTTTTTTTTTCTTTTTTTCTTCCTGTTATGGTACAGATAACCTCTGTGGGGAGCTGATGTATGTATCTTCATATCCAATAGAAACACCCACAAACTCACTGCTGCTGTTTGTGTTATTTCTCATTCATTAAGGATCACATTTGGGACTGAAATCTGGGGCACTGAGTCATGGAGCGGAGAGGCTGGGGGAGAACCTTCAGTCGCAAAGCTGATGGCACATCTGTGCCTACGGACAGCAGGGAGGAGGTCTGCGCCTGGGACACGCAGCACTGGGCAGTGCTTCCTCCCTCCCTGTGATCTGGGGGTTCCTGTGGTCCTGTGTGCCAGAGGATTGAAGCGCTGTTCTTGCAAGGGCAAATCTGTGGTCACACCAATCAGGTGATGCTGAGGAGACTCACGGTAAACCCTGCAGCTTTAAGGGGTGGCAGGCAGTGACATCGCCCCCGTTTCTACCAGGATGCTCGCAGGGAAGGAGCCCAGGTGCAGACCCCATACCTACCCCAGGCCTCGCTGTGTGCACACGGCTGCTGCATCTGCTCCAGCTGCGCAGAATGGAGGGCCGGATCCTGCCTTCCCCATGTGATGCTGATGCTGCGGTCCGGGGCCATCTGCACGCCGTGCCACTCCAGTGGGCCGTGATCGGCACTGCAAGGCAGTGTCCGGCAGCGTCCCTCCAGCAGGGGCCGGGGCTGCGCTGAGGCCGGAGGAAGGTCCCTTTCCCTTTAAATGCAAATCACAGCCCCAGGGCTCCGGGAACACTGTTGGTCCAGCGGTCCTGGGGACGCAGCCGGGTGGCACCGAAGGCCGGAGGAGGTCCTCGCACAGGTCGGTGTTTCCATGCCGCTGTGGTGCGGGGCCGGAGCCCGCAGACAAATGGGCTTCCGCAGCAGCCACCGCATCACCCCGTCCTGCCACCGTCAAGGGCCCAGGGGGCAGAGGAGCTCGGTGGGGGCTGAAATACGCTGGGGAGGGTTCAGGGGTGTCGGGTCCCTTCTGTAGTCTCTGCCCTGGCTCTGGGTTTGGGTATCAGGAGTCCTTCCCTGCCCCATGGGGCCTGAAATCCTCTTTTCTGCAGCTCTGGGAGAAGACGCTGAAGAGTAATCCCCGGCTGGGAGTTCCCTGGGTGTTTTTCAGATCCCAGGCTCTGCTCTATGCCCTGATGTCCCACTGCAGACCGGGATAACGCAGCCTGAGCCTGGCTGCTGACCCCAGTGTGTGGGCTCAGCTCTGTCCTTGGCTTCCCGGCTGCCCTGAGACCAGGAGGCCCTGCGTGGGGAAGTGCTGCCGAGAGCTTTGTGTCCATCCTGTCCCGCTCAGGTGCTTCCCACGTGGCTCTGGGATTCTCTCTGGGATGGAGGAGCGGAGGAAGAAGCGGAGCCCCAGAGGTCAGCCGGCACCTGCCAGAGCATCGCGGCTTCTGCCCACCAGCAAGAGCGCATCCTTCGCCCTGCCGCTGCCCGCCCTGCCCTCACAGCATGCCAGGCCCCAGCGGTCAGTGCTGGGGGTGGGGGAGAGACCAGTGCTGGGGGAACGGTCTGGTGGCGTCACATCGTCCGCGTCCTCCATGTAGGGCGAGCAAGGAGAGGGTGAGGGCAGGGGCAGCGCGGGGGGCCCCGCTGCAGCACAGCTTCCTCACCGAGGTCTCTGATGTCTGTGAGATGGAGGGCGGGCTGCTCGGCCTGCTCAGCGACTTCCACTCGGGCAAGCTGCAGGCCTTTGGTGAGGGGCTGGGAGCCGGGGGGGGGGGGGGGGGGGGGGGGGGGGGGGGGCACACTGGTGAGTGGTGACAGCTCTACTTGCGGGTGCAGGGAAGGAATGCTCCTTCGAGCAGCTGGAGCACGTGCGGGAGATGCAGGAGAAGCTGGCGCGGCTGCACTTCGGCCTGGATGTGTGTGTGGAGGAGCTCCCGGAGGAGCAGAAGAAGCCGGTGGCTGACAGGAACCTGGACCAGCTGCTGGCACACGTGAGTGGCGTCTCCTCACCATGTGCCCGGCCCTGCAGCGCTGATGGGCGTCCTCGGCCTCCCTGCCTGCAACTCAACCTCTGCCTTTGCCTCCTGCAGCTGGAGGAGCTCAGCAGCTCCATGTATCCTGCAGGGCCGTGGGGCGGCGGCGGTGGTGGTGGTGTTGGTGGTGTTGGTGTATTGGTGGTGGTGTTGGTGGTGTTGGTGTATTGGTGGTGGTGTTGGTGGTGTTGGTGGTGTTGGTGTATTGGTGGTGGTGCAGGACACGTGCCGTCCCGCCGCGCTTTCCCTTGACAGCAGCCCAGTCAGAAGCTGCACCTGGCCGAGAGCCCCAGCCCTGAGGAGGCCGCGGCCTGACAACCGCCGGCTGCGGGGAGGCGGCCCCGCGAGACGGGGAGGACGGGACGGGACGCCGGAGTTCCCCCCGGCCCACCGTGCGGGGCCGATGGCGGTGACGCGCGGTCACCGAGCCCCCCCCCCCCAGCCGCCATTTTGATCGACCGCACGCAGCGGCGCGGTGACGTCATCGGACGGCGCGGTGACGTCATCGGACGGCGCCCCTCGTCGCTACGGACGCGATGGCGGCGCTGCCGGGTCCGCGGGAGGAGAGCGCGGAGAGGCGGCGGCTGCTGCGCGCGGTGACCCGGCTGCAGGTGGGGCCGCGGGGGGCCGCGCCGCGCTCCATTAAAGCCGCACGTCGCTCCGCACCCGGCCGTGCTGCTTCTTTCCCGCGGGCCGCCGTCCGGGCGCTGAGCCGCTCCGCCCGCCGCTCTGCCCGCAGGCCGGGGTCCGAGGCTTCCTGCTGCGGCGGCGGCTGCGGGCCGTGCGAGCGGAGTACGAGGAGGTGGTGAAGGAGATCGAGGGGGAGCTGAGCGAGCTGCGCTGGACGGGCCGCTGGCTGCGCACGCCCGTCTTCGTCGCCGAGGTCCGTGCTGCCGCGGGGCTCGGCGGGTCCGCGTGGCGGCGGCGGGGCGCCTTACGGCCTCGTCGCCGGAGGAAGCGGGGCGGTCACACGGGCTTCCCGCCGGCTGAGCGTTGCCTCCTGCGGGTGAAGCTCGGCCTCCGCTCGGAGCTCCGACCTGCGCGAGTGGCTGCACGCACCGCCTTCGTGCGCCGGGTCGCGTCCGTCTGTCCCCCTCCCGGGGCTGAGCGCTGCCCTGCGGCGCTGCTCCTGTCCTGAGAGAAAGGCCCGGGGCGGTTTGCAGTGGTTCAAATCAGAGCTGCTGGTAGTGGCAGATCTCTGGATAGGACAACGCGCTGCCCTGCAGCACTGCCCCTTTCAGGTCTTTCTGTGCCTTTCTTTTTAATGTTTGTCTGTTCAGTTTTTCACTTTCGCCTCCTAGAAGCCAGTGAAAGAGGAGTGCTCAGCTATGCAAGAAGCTGTATCGAGTGACAAGGGCAGCACAGAGAAAACACAGCAGGAACGGGATGTTTCCAAACCAGAACAGGACTGGGGCTCCAGCAGTAGTGTGAAACCTACGGCCCAGCTGCAAAGTGAGAAAGAACTGGGTTCCATGGGTGAATGCAGTGTAGCAAGCCCCACAAATCTAGGGGCCGTCACAGGTAAAAGCACTGAAAAAAGATGCAGTGCCCCAGCAGAGAGCAAGGAGTGGCAGAACACCAGCAGTGTTTCATCTGTATGGGACAGCACTGACCTGGAACCAGGCTCCCTCAAAGCCTGTCTGGGTAAGAGACAGCAGTCCCTGCACAGCCTGGCGTTCTGCTGCATGGTTTGAATAACCGCATGCAGGTGGTGAAGTAGAGAATCAAACCTTGAGAATGTACTGGAGGGGTCAGAATAACTCATTGCAGGAGTGAGAGATGCAGTTTAAGTTTTCTAGCAGTAGCTTCTTCCAATTCTTTGCAGAAATTCCACTTATGGATGTAAAGGAGCTTCCCCGAACTCAGCCTGGCCTGCAGTCCTTCAGAAATCACTTGATCATGGAGCTGCTGTGGTTGCAACAAGCTATTGACAGCCGTAAAAATGTAAGGGCTTGTCTCTGCCTCTTGGTCAGAGGGGTTCCTTCTGTGATGGGATGAGAGGCTGGGTGGTGGTGGTCCGGTTTCCTCAGGGTTGGATCAGATGATGGCAGTGGTTGTTTTTTTGAGAGGGGAAAAAATTAAACAACTTCTGCTTTCCTTTTTCGATTTGGCTGTGAGCTTCTGTCCTGCTACAGACGCTGCTATTTGATAAGTATTGTGTCTGCATAATACAGTAACATGCACCTAGGAGCTATCTAACTTAGCAAGCTGCTGTTTGCATTGGTTAAGGTGTAGTTCATGTGAATGTTCCGGCCAAGTGTGATGACTGGCTAAACTGCAGGTGCTTTCCTGCTTCTGGGTCTCTGAGATCTAATTGCTAACATTTTATTTTCTTTCTCTTGTAGTACCTGAAGCTGAAACAGAGGCTGGAGTCTTCTAACAGCTAAGAAGGCATTCCTGAGCATGTGGGATGTTTTGTACTGCTGTGGAGGAGCAGAGGAACTGCAGCACCAAAGTCACAACATGATTTCACAGACAGCAGCACCCCGATGGAACTCCAGCTCTGTGAGCTGTTGTTCTAATCAGATTCATGTGGCAAAAGACTTCTGTTTCTTTTAAATGTGAATATTTGGTCAAAGCAGGAATTAAGTGACACTGTGACACTAAGGAGGTTGTGTGTCTTGGAGGGAGTCTTCCCTCCACAAGAACCCATCCTAAGGGTAAATTGAGGCTGGGAAAATTGTCACAAAAGTTCCACTTTGACCAGCTTGTTGCTTGTGGTGCAATTAAAATGCCAGAAGGCTACAGGTGCTTTGAATCTGTAGGATTAAATTCTTCTCCACTCAGTTGTGGGTGATGTGCACCAGTACGTGAACTGTATTTTTCTGTACGTCACCACTCTGCAATGTCTGGGGTCTCCAAGTGCCTGTTTTCACCCAGAGCAACCTGTTCAGTGCAAGAGGCAGTGTATCTGCCATGGTGTGGATGTTTGTCCACCATGTGCAGAATGGAAACCTGCTGCACATATCATGCAGGTAGCAAGTGAGGGCAAGGGAATGACAGCTTCAGGGTATTGGTACTCTGGATGACATGCAAACTGCTGCCAAAGATACTGGCACCTCTGAACTGCTTCATTTGAACCTGTTGGCCATGGTAGTTAGCATGGGGTGAGGGTGAGGTTTAAAGAGCTGTGTGGTTCCTGGTTCTCACGTGGCAGTATTTGCAGGTTGTTTGATGTGGCCTTAGCCTGGCCCACAGCTTCCTCCTGCTGCAGCCGTGGTGACGGACAGTTGCTCAGGGGACTGATGAGGAGGGACAGCAAAACACAAAGGCGGCTGGTCAGAAGGGCGTAGACTCAGTGGGAGACCTGCAGGAGCTCTCCTCTGTGCTCTGTGTTGGTCTGTCTGCCTCTCTGACCCATGGGGAATGAGCTCCCGTGGCTTAGCTCTGGCTTGTCCAGCCAAGAACGTGGTGGTGTATCGCAACGGTGACCCCTTCTTCCACGGGAGGAAGTTTGTAGTGAACCAGCGGCAGTTCCTGACCTTTGAGGCATTTCTGAATGAGGTGACCAAGAGCATTCATGCACCCTTGGCTGTGAGGAATCTCTACACACCCAAGCATGGCCATCGCGTTGCTGAACTGGCTGACCTGCAGGATGGGTGCCAGTACGTGGCTGCAGGCTTTGAAAAGTTCAAAAAGCTCGAGTGAGTAGATGGTCCTTTTGTCTCTGGGTTTGGTAAGCAGTTCTAGATATTTTGAGGTGTAAATGGAGGGGGGTGGAAAGGGTAAATAGGTAAAAAGGATGCAAACCCAAAGAAAAACATAGATTAGTTTCTTTTCCTAGTGGAATTTACTGGATGTATTTCAGGTTGCTTGGGAAATGCGCGTATTCCTGACAAGGTCACTGACTCTTGAAAGAAAAAATGCTGGGAGAGACGTGCAGTCTCCAGCTGGCTGTGTGTGATTGGTGCTGCTTTGCCTCGCGTGCACCTTGTTTTGTGGTGTGTGGGAGGTTCTAGCAGAGTTGCCAGCCACAGTTTCCGCTCTGATAAGTATTGTTTCTTTGGTTTAGTGGAAGTTTCTTTTGTTTTCTAATTCTGCGTGAAGTAGAGCTGTTTAGGTTCATCCTGAAATACAGAGGGCTGAGAGATTCAAGGTATCGCTTCGGTCTTGAGGGAATGTGTGAGATATGTGTGTGTTGGGTGGATTTGGCTCCCTGACTGCATACTGCATCCTGTTGAGGAGGTGCTCCAGGCTGGATTAAGCAGTAGTCAGTCCTTGTAACAGCAGTCAGTCCTTGGAGCCTTATCATTGTTTAGCTCAAAGGAATAAAATGTTCTGGATGTCGTGGTCTGTGTTTGACTGGGATTTCTTAAGTAGGCTTTAATTGTGGAAGCTCATGAGATGAAGTACATGGAGGATTTTAAATATAAACACGTGTACTGGCAATGAATCAAGACAAAGCAGTCATTTTCTCACTGCTCTTTAGTCATGGCCTGCTGGGTACACTGCAATGTCCTCTCTTGTTCTCATAGCTATTTAAATCGTGGAAGGAAGGAGCTCCGTGGGACAAACAACAGCAACAGTGTGCAGGTGAGACTGAGCTGAGTGTGGACAGGCAAGAACACTGACTGAGCTTGAAGGGGTGGCTGAGAGCTGGCACTGGTGTAACAAAAGTTGAGCTTTAAGGCTGCAATGTGTCCAGCAGAGATCCTGTGAAAATGACACAGGAATCAGTAGCAGGGGCTGCTTAACAGTGAAGGGAAGAAGGATCTGCTCAGGGGTTCTGGAATGTACTCAAGTATGTCAAGAACCTCTCCAGGCCCTCATGTTGCTGACAACAAACCCCACCTAGCAGCAGCAAGCTGAAGGCAGGGTAGGCACCTCCTGCATGGTGAAGAAAATGGAACAGCTCTGGGAAGCTTTGTGCCAGAGCTGTCTTGTTTTTTGTGCACTGAACTTGTCTCTAGACCTGCACCGTAGCCCCCTGGAAGCCAAACACTGCAGTGCGACAGCAGAAGCCCACCCACCTTACAATACAGTAAGTGCCTCAGTGCTTTCTCCTGGGAAGGTATTTGGGAACATTTTGAAAGCTGAAGGAGGGGATTTCTGTGTGAGATTCTGAGAATCATAGAATCATTAAGGCTGGAAAAGACTACTAAGATCATCTAGTCCAACTCTCCTCCTACCACCAATATTTCCCCACTAAGTCATGTTCCTCAGTACTACCTCTACACATCTCATGAACGCTTCTAGGGATGATGACTCAGCCACCTCCCTGGGCAGCCCATTTCAGTGTCTGACCACTCTTGGAGATGGTCTTCCTAATATCCAACCTGAATGCTGCCCCCACAGGAACAGTTCCCTCCTCCTACCAGAGCTATTTGTTGTAAATACTGCATGAACACATGCCTTCTTTCCCCCCTCTTCCACATACCACCTCATCAGAGGAAACTGAACAGAAATGCCCGTAGTTCAGTTACAGATCTCAAGGTGTCCAGTGACACCAGGGATAGAGAGTTGATGTCTTCACAACTGTTAATAAAACATCTCTGCTCACGCTGCCTTGTGGCATGCTTTGGATTGTTTCTGCTGTAGTGTTTTTCGAAATGGGGATTTGTTGAGCCCTCCTTTCCAACTGATGATCTCCAAGAGCACTTTATGGCAGTGGGACACACTCTTGGCTATGCTGACAGAGAAAGCTGATCTGTGCAGTGGAGCTGTTAACAGGTGGGTATCTGGGCAAGGCACTGCTGGGTCTTCTTTTATTATGCCCAGGAACACAGGCAGGACTTACTAGTGTGCAGGACCAGGAGCTTAGATGCTTCTAGCGTGCTTTGGCAATTTCATTTGCTTTTCAGTTTTCCCATCTTTAAATCAATGATAACACCAACATCCTTTGCTCTTATCATGGTTGCATTTACCACTTTGCACTTGTTTGCTTCCACACTGAGGGGTTGTTCTCTATCGTGTGACTTCCCCTTATATTGCTCTGAATCTTTTGCTGTCTCTTTCCTGAGGCTCTGCAGGCTGGATGGCACACTGGTGTCCAGTGGGGAGGAACTGGTGAATGGCAACTACTATGTGGCAGTGGGAACTGAGGAGTACAAAAAATTGCCTTACTTGGAGCTGCTGGTGCCCCAGGACTCTGTGTGCAGGCCACTCTGGTACGTAGGCTATGGCTGAGAGGTTTAAAGAATCATCTCAGAGGTGGTCTTCAGCTGAAATCATCATTCCCATAGCCTTCCCATTCAGTGCTGTCTGTATCAAGGGTTGAATTCTGCTTAATGAGATGGAAATTTAGGAAGCAAGAATGCTTCAAAGCTTTCTGTGTAAGTACCTGGGAGGTAAAAGCAGATAAACACACAAAGGTGGAGGCACTCATTGATCTGGTGTGATAAATAATTTTCTGCCCTGTTCAGAGTCTGTCGCTGCTGTAGGGACTAGAGAACACATCAAACAATAGTTTATAGCAGTTGCTTGGGTAAGACGTTTAGCTTTCTCACTCACAGTTTAGAAATCACTGTGCTTCCTCCTGGAGTGTGTAAAGCTGAAAGTAACCACCAGGGGGGACTTCAGAAACCAAAGGACGGGGTGTTACTGCAGGGCTCTGCATTTTAGAAAGTCAAGAGGTTGTTTTCTGCGTCATGAACATTTCCCTTCTTCTGGATTGTGAGAGTAACAGTTTCCCCACTGCAGTAAGCATATAAGACTTCCTGAAGGGGTTCCTACTTCTATCTTTACTCCTTTTCCAGAGAGCTGCAGAAGAATTTATACCAAAAGGCAAAATGATACACCACAGTATTTATTCCACTTAATGGTTCTGTGAAATGTGTAAGATCCTTCCTAGCTGTGTTCAGATCTCTTATGCTAACATTTGTACCCCCAGCTGTGACCTGTTAGGCAGGACTTGCCTGAAGCCAGGTGAAGCTTTGAAGCTGACTTGTAATAAATGTGTTTTTTCTTCTTACTGCAAAAAGGCATGGACTACAGGCAAATCATAAACCATTGTCTCGGGGAAAAGGAATGACAACAGTTCTGAAGATGAAGAGCACTGAATGATGTTTTCCTTGGCAGCAAAACTACTCTGAAGAGTTAAAGGACTGTGATGAGAGGGCAGATAGGTAAACTGCTCTCTGCACTGCTGTAGGTAACAAGAGGCGAGTACGAGGTCTGTTTAACACCACAGACTTGCCAAGGTTTTTGATGTATTAACAAACTTCCTTCTGTAAAAGATCAGATGGTTCTAGAAGGTTCATTTCAATGATTTATTAACCAATTATTACCCCTCCAGTACTGAACAAGGCAATTCAATCATCCCTGCCTTGAACCACCCACAGAAAAAAAACCATCCTTAACTGAAGACATTAAATAGAATGTCCTTGCAACATGCCTTGTTCCACTCTGGTTCTCAGGGAATTTGATTCATGCTTTCAGACAGCCATGTGTCAGAACAGCTTTCTTGAGGAAGCTGAGCCAAACATGTTGCTGCTGAGCCAGAAGCTCCCCTCTTCGGCCATGGGTTACCTTTGAAGAGTTTCCTCTGCTCACTGTGCCTTGGTCATGAACCAGCTACACAGAGAGTGACTCCCAGGAGGGTGAGCAGCATCCCTGCCACGGCCCCTGCAGAAATACAGAATTCTGTGCTGGGAACGTACGCAGTTCAACACCTGTCAGTCAGTGCCTGTCACTGCTAAATATGTGACTCTCAGCTGTCAGTAAAGATAGCCTAAATGGATGTGAGCCAAACTGGTACTTATTGCTAATGTTCTGTGCTTGGTGTCTTTCAGCTTTCAAGTCTCCTGTTATTTTCCAACTTTCTAAGCAGGATAATGTTAGTGTATGGAGTAAGGGGCATAAAAAAGGATGGGTGCTGACATTTTGGGGCTTATGGGACATTTCTCTTATGGTTAAATACATCATTAGGTGAAGGCTCAGGCCTATGAGTTCTGCTAGTTTAAAAGAGCTAGTTCCAGTCATTTAAATTCACTAGCCCTACCCTCTTACAAGTCAGTTTCACTTCCTTTTCAGCTTCCTTGCAAGAACTACTGCCTTCAGGCAGTAGTTACAGGACTTGTATCAGTGTTCACCGTTTTTTAGGACACCAGAAGGGAGCACACAACATTAAGATAGCAAATAGATACAGAAGACAATGTGACAAAATGTTTCAAGTGTAACTTACTTTTACCACCAATGTCCTCTCCCAGAATCCTTCCAGTCACCAGTGTGACTATCAGAGCCAGGGAGTTACAGAGTGGCACTGCCAGGGACAGTTCTGAAATTGAACAGTTGTCAAACAGTTTGAAATGGATAATCCTGTAAGAATTGTAAGACATGTGTCCTTCATTCTAAGACACCTACTTGAAGTTTAGCCAGAGCACCAAACTAATCAGTAATACAGCTCCTCCCAAAATCCTGATCAACCCACTTGACAAAGCAATGAAAGCTAACCTGCAGATGCCAAGGTGAGGTAGAAGAGGAGTGATCCACATTGGTTCAGCAGAAATGGCACCATGTACTGCAGAAAGAAGGCAGGTCTGTTGGTCACTGCATGGAAAACCATTGCACTACCTCCAGCAAGTAGTCAGCAAAGGAGCCCCGACCCATGCTCAGTGCTGTGTTTGGCAGCAGAAATACAGCCCACTGGTGATTCTTATGCTAGTCATGATCTCTTCACAGCCTTGGATCCCCTGTCTGCAGAAGGCAGACAAGTCTTCATGTAAAATATGAGGATTAATTACCTCCTTTCTTCAAGAGTCTAAGTAAGTTCTCCATAAGAAGAGCAGTGCTACAGGTGAGCAAATGAAACATTACAGAGCATAAATAATTTTTCTGATAGATGGAAGGTATTGAGTGCAGAAGGGAGTGGTCCCGTGACACCTCCCTAGCCCAGAAGCCCAGCTGGGGTCGCACCTTGTAGTTGAGGCCCAGGAAGCTGATCTCGGCCAGCAGCTGCTGTAGGCGGCCCTGGCGCTGCACGTCCTCCAGCCCCGCTGCTCCCGTCCGCAGGAACGGCCCCGTGCCGCCCCACAGTGCAGCCACCAGCACCAGCACCGCTGCCTCTCCTGCGGCACAGCTTCAGCTCAGCCCTGGGCTGTTGGCCCAGCCTGCAGCAGCCGTCCCACCCCGAAAGGCCCCATGCCAGGCACGCTGCCGCGGGGCGCTAAGGAAATTCCCCTGCACGGCCCCGCCAACGGCCCCGTTCCCTCGCGGTGAGCACCGCTGCCCGTGCCGCGTTCCCGCAGCCAGGAAGGCCCGACGCGTGCCCAAGTTTCCCCTCAGGGAATATCCCACAGCAGCCCAAAGCCACGGCCACGTCCCCTTAAAGCAGCCCGTCGCTGCTGCTGCACCCCCCTGGTAGAAGGGCTCTGCCCGCGGCCACCTCCCCTCTCAGGAAAAGCCCTTCCCGGGCTCGCCGCGGCCCGGCCCTCAGGAAAGCCCCTCATGGTCTGCATGGCCGCAAGCCTCAGGAAAGAGCCCAGGGCTCCAAGCCGCGGCCATTCCCCGCCCCAGGGAAGGCGCCTCTACAGCCCAACTCGCGTCCGCCCCGAGCCCTTCCGGCAACCGCAGCGAGGCCCAAAGGCCCCGGGCCCCCCCGCTCAGCCCGTCTCCCCTTTCCCCAAACCCGGAAGCTCACCCGCGGTCGCCATAGCGACAGCGACGGACTTCCGCCTCCCCGCGCCCTCTGACCCGGAAGCGGTGCCGCTCGCCTCTCCTCGCGCACCGCCGCCATGGTGAGACGGGGAGCGGCGCGGGCCCGGCCGGGCTGCTGCGGGCGGCGGGGCGATGCGGGGCCGCGGCCGGGGCTCCTGGGCTGACGGCGGCTGGCAGCCCGCCGCCCCTACAGCGGCCCGGGAGCTCCTGCCGGGGACGTGAGCGTTAATGGCGTCTTTCCTCACCCCCACACGCAGAAGCCGATCCTGCTGCAGGGCCACGAGCGTTCCATCACGCAGATCAAGTACAACCGCGAGGGAGACCTGCTGTTCACCGTGGCCAAGGATCCCGTGAGTATGGCTGAGCTGCGGGAGAAACCGGGAAACCAGCGCTCCTATGCGCGATGGGGGAAGAGTGGAGAGAGAAAGGAGCGGTGGTTAATTAACGAGCCTGATTAATTAGTCAGCGCGGCGAGGGGGTGCTTGAGCGGTTGTATCTTCTCTTAGATCGTCAACGTTTGGTATTCAGTAAACGGAGAAAGGCTGGGCACCTACAATGGCCACACAGGAGCTGTGTGGTGCGTGGATGCAGACTGTATCCTTCGAACGGTGAAACCAGTTTGTCCTCTTTGTTCCTTAGAGTGATTCAGCACAGATGGTTTCTTTCAACTGCTGTAGTGTGCTGAGCACTGCAGCCACGCAATGCATTTAATTTTCCCTTATGCCATCTCTTGGTGTTTGTGCTCCTTTTGCTTCCTGTTGTTTGGAACGACGTGTGCTGCACATCCCACCTGCTCTGTTTGTGCTTCATTGCTTTTGCTAAGGTGGCTCTGGGAGCACAAAAAGGTATCTGAGTAGAACAAGGTTTTCCTTTTCCAAAGCAGGCAGGAGGTAGCAGAGATAAAAACGTGCAAAGGTTGTGCCAAGACAAGAGCAGTAGTCTTTTTATTTGTCATCCCAAAAAGAAAGTTGTGGGTTTTGTTATAGGAGCACTTGAACTTGCTGCCTGTATGGGAGTATTGCCACTCCTGTAATGGAAGTTACCTAAGTCCTATATTTTCTCAGTGTAACACAGCTTTTTAATCTTGTGTATAACTACTGCCTGGGTATCTAGATAATTGGCTTTTGGGGCTGCAAACATGCTGATATTCCCTAACTGCTGACCAAGGGGACACACGACATGTGCTCACTGGCTCTGCAGATAACAGCTGTCGGCTCTGGGACTGTGAAACAGGTAAGGCTCTTCTCTTCCACGTGGCTGTGTCTGACTCGCAGCTCTGTCCTGTTCTGGAATCTGTGTGCAACGTGTGCCTGTTTGCCCCCTGAAAGAGGTGTGAGTCCTTTCTTGGCTGTTTGTGTATTTGCCTAATTTTCGGTGAACACTTAGTCAGTCCACTCACCTTGCTGCCCAAGCAGGTGTTTGGTGCCTTCCAGTCACCCAACCCGTTTGTCAGCTCTGCCTGATGCTCCGGTCCTTGCTGTGACTGGGCTTTTATTTTGATCACTTTCATTAATTTTGCAATGCAAGACCAAGTGAAGTGATGGCTTCTGCTCTGTGTTCAGGAAAGCAGCTTGCTCTGGTGAAGACCAGCTCAGCAGTGAGGACGTGTGGCTTTGACTTTGGAGGAAACATCATCATGTTCTCAACAGACAAGCAGATGGGTTATCAGTGTTTTGTGAGCTTCTTTGACCTGCGTGACCCCAGCCAGATTGGTGAGAAATCCGGGTCTATGCCTGCGACTGGGAATAAGGGGAAGTGTTGGCAGCCAAGAACTGGTGCCACTCAGTCTGTCTGTCTCCATCCTTCCTTCCTGCAGAGAACAACGAGCCTTACATGAAAATCCCCTGCAGTGACTCTAAAATCACTAGTGCTGTGTGGGGCCCTTTGGGAGAATTCATCATCGCAGGACATGAGAGTGGAGAGCTAAACCAGTTCAGTGCCAAGGTCAGTGTGACAAGGACGAGCCCTCAGGCAGCATCACTTGGGAGAGGATATTACAGCATTCCTGTTGTGATCACGGGGCAGAATGTGGGCTTTTTGGCTCAAACCAGTGGCCTCGTGGAAGGATAGTTAAAATATGTGGCTCTCTTCAGCAAAGCTAAACATACACATGCCTACCTTTCTGCTGACAGCAGCATCTAAAATCGTTTTTAGCAGAGAAGTTGTGTGCATGCTCGCTTTGCTTGCCAGCTCACTGAAACTGCCTTGTTTACCCTTCAGTCAGGGGAGCAGCTTTCAAACATCAAGGAGCACACCAAGCAAATCAATGACATTCAGACCTCCAGGGACATGACCATGTTCATCACTGCCTCCAAGGATAACACTGCTAAGGTGAGGCTTCCTGTGGGGACTGTGGTGCATTGCTGACATCTGCTTGCAGGAGCCCTGCTCAAAGACATGGCTGCCTCAGTGGTTTTCTCTTTGGGAATTTGAGCAGGTCTAAAGCCAAAGCTTAGTGGGAGGGTTCATTGGGAATGGGGAGGCATCACCATGTTAAATTAGCAGCCAGGCATTGGAAACAACCTTTGCAAAAACAAAGGTTGCATATTAGCACTTCCAGAAGGTGATAGAGGTGAGAATTACCTTGGGGGTATATTTTGGGATTCGAGTGCCCAGGAGTGACTTTAGAGCTAACATCTGGTTGTGCGAGGCCTGGCAGCCAGGGCTGGGATTTGCATGAGTTACTTGGACTGCTACTCTCTTCCTTTTCCATTTTAGCTATTTGACTGCACAACACTGGAACATCTGAAGACATTCCGGACAGAGCGACCGGTGAACTCTGCTGCACTCTCCCCCATTTTTGATCATGTAAGAATGAGCCCACTCATTCTAACAGTTTTGGTGCAGCTCCTGCATTGTCTTAAGCAGCTGGAAGGCACAGTGTCACCAGTTCAGCCTGAGCTAAACAATGACTGTGGGACTGGGCCAGGGGACTTTACTGCTGCCATGGGCTGTGCTGGGTTAGTGGGAGGCTTCCCCAAGGCAGGGCTCCCTCCTACCCTCGCTGTTGTTTCACATATGGTGTAAGCAGCACTGCAGTGTTGTGGCTTTTCTTCTTTGCAGGTCGTGCTTGGTGGTGGGCAGGAAGCCATGGATGTGACCACGACCTCCACCAGGATTGGCAAATTTGAGGCAAGGTTGGTGCTCTTCTCTGGCAGGACTGAGTCCGCACTTGGAGTACTCTGCTGTTCCCAGAACTTCTTGTTCTTGGCAGTGTTTGGAGAGTTATTAAAATTGCAGAGCTTCTGTGGGGAAACTTTGATCCTGTCTCTAACCTGCCTCCCCACTTCTTTCTTCTCCCAGGTTCTTCCACTTGGCTTTTGAAGAAGAGTTTGGCAGAGTGAAGGGTCATTTTGGTCCAATAAACAGTGTTGCTTTTCACCCTGATGGGAAGAGGTGAGGATCTTTGTGGGTCTTCCTGCATGTCCACATCGAATGTGGTCTGTGTTTTGGTTAGGATATGGCTGGATTCACTCAGAACTGCAGTGGGAATGGAGCCTGCGCCTTCCTGAATTCTGCCATTCCGCCCCTTTTGCCCCCCATCACACTGGCTGTGGGGGGTCACTGATGCCTGGCTGTGCATTTTGGCTAATGTTTTTATTAGCTTTTGGATTCCATCTCTTGCTAGTTTCAATCCGTACACGGTGAGTTCCTGACAAGATTGGTGACTTTCTTGTCTTTTCTCCCATGCAGTTACAGCAGTGGTGGTGAAGATGGCTACGTTCGCATCCATTATTTTGATCCCCAGTACTTCGAGTTTGAGTTTGAAGCTTAAAGGATGAATTCTCTTCTTTCCTCTTCCAACCCATTGCACAGTCCATTGAAAAATGCAGAACTGTTGTAAGACCTGAAGTTAATCTGCTCTGCAGGAGGCAGCAGGAAGCAGCACCAAACTCAGGGGTTGTATGAAGGTGGGAATCTGGAAACCCAACCAGCTCAAAATGGCACGAGTGGCCTAAAAGGAGTTGAGTTGGCTGCCTGCCTGCCCCTGTGATGCTAACTTTCTGACCTGCTGGGCTTATTTATATATCAGTGGGAAAAAGAAACATCAAGGAATAAATAGAAATCTTTTCTGAACGCAAGGAGAAGTGCCTCTATTCTTTTGGTTTGAGACAAAATTAACGTGACTGTTTTGCTTTTCCTGCTCTGGTGTCAGTGTCTTGCTCTCTGCCTAGCAGCACACAGCAGTGCTGGTACTCCCTGTGCCTCTGTCCTCACCCAGACTCGTTAACTCTTTCACAGTGTTGAGGTGCAGCTAATGTTGAAGTCCAGACCTAGCAATGCTGGATTTGCAAACAGCCTGGAAATACAGTTGCCAGTCATTGTTTTCCAGATGACATGCGCTCAGTTCAAGTGCTTTGTTTATTTGCTGGACTGACCCTGAGCCAACTTTCCTCATGGAACAGTTATTTCCTGCACTAGGAGGGTTGTGTTGCAAATCCTCATCCTTCCAGACCCTGTCCCTCTGTCTTGCTGGCTGGAGTGATGGTTTCTGTCCTTCCTTCCTTGAAACTGGGTTCAAGGGCAGATCTCCCAGGCTGGCTTCCAGCTTGGAGCGACTGATGTAACACAACCGGCAGCCAGCATGCCCTTTATGGAGAGGCTGGTGCAAACTTAGTGTGTTCTGCTGCTTAGATTTTGCTGTGCCAACCACACCTTGGGCACAGGGCAGGGCCCATGGGCCAGATACATCGCAACAAGAGCTGCTGGGCACACGGGCATCCTGCTGCCAGGTCTAGGTATGAGAGCTGCTGAAATCCCACTGGAGAGCAGAGCAGGAACAGCCCAGCTCTGGCCAGAGAACACACATGGAAAGCAGGAGCAAACTGAGAGAGAGAGACCACTTTACTGTGATGTGCTCAGGCTGTGTGGCTGACAGGAAGCTCGCTTGAGTCTGTCCCCCTCTCCCAGGGATGTCCGTACAGTTCTGCTCTGTGCAGGCTCCTCTGGGCTCTGCAGGGCGCGTGTCCCGCACAGCGCTTCCTGCAGAGAGCTGCAGCACTGCCTTGGTGCATCAGCCCTGGCGATGGGGGATGATCCCCAGGACGTGGTGCTCGTGCTGCTGCTCATCTTTCATTCTCCATCCGGGCAGCGGGGTCGGAAAGTGAGTGGCTCAGTCTGTTCTCTGTGCTCTCCTTGACAGCTGTGTTGCTGCCCTCCACCAACCGCCATATCTCTGCCCACGCCTCATCCAGGTACTGGGATGAGCGGATCCAGCGAAAGAACAAGCCTAGGGGACAAGGGCTGCGTCACCTCGGCTGCGTCCTGCTGCAGGAGGGAAAGCATGCAGAGCTACTGCATGCAACCCAGGTGGGTTGGGAAAGCCCAGGGGCTGCACCCGCCATACCCTGCCACAGCTGGATGCTCTGGGGCTCCACTGAGGGCCAGATGACCAGCAGGTTGGGCGAGTAGAGGGGGTTCAGGTACTTCTTCCTCTCCTCAGGCTGGTCCAGCCAGGCCCAGAGGGAGTGCGTGCTCTCCTTCACTTTGCACAGACACCTGCAGGAGAACAGAGATGTGCTTCAGTCCCCGGGACTGACCTGGGATGGTGACCACGGGGTCTGCGCCTGCAGGCCAGGGTCTGCTCTGGGGCGCAATGCTCATGGGGCACTGCTGTCCCCATGTCCCTGCCACTTGCCTCTCCTTCTCATTGTTGCAGAGGAAAGTGCCGTAGTCGGAGGCGTAGGCGTTGTCAAAGAGGGTGAGGAGCAGCCCCTCGCTGAACTCCAGCGAGAAGGGGAACTGCCGGCTCAGCTGCCACACGCAGTCGAGGAAGAGGAGGAAGAGCGGCGCCTCCTGCTTCAGCCGCGCGTGTGAGTAGGCAGAGCGGGCACAGCGCAGGTGGAAGGGATGGCCAGCCTGCAGGACCCATGGCAATGGTAACGGGGCTGCAGGGGACCACGGGACCCCCGCCTCAGCTCCTTCCGCCCCTCACCTGGATCCACTCCCTCTCCAGCAGCTCCTGGAAGCCCTTCAGCGTGCGGCAGCCTGGGTCCAGGATCACCTGCGCCAGCGCCGTCACCAGCAGCGTGGTGTCTGTGCCCTCTGCTCCGTGCACCAGCACGCAGCTCTCCTCCCTGGAGGCACAGCCAGGGCGCTGCCAGCTGCACTCTGTGCATCGCTCTCAGGGGGAGGGGAGGGACGTGGGGTGCAGCCCCCTACCTGTCCAGGCACTGCGCAGCCAAACAGGCCGTGCTGAGGGCCGCCTTAACGTGGCTCAGCCAGCGGCAGCTCTCCAGCCGGCCCAGCCAGCGGTCCATGCCCAGCGAAGCGTCGTTGCAGGCCTCCACCAGCTTGATGAAGCTCTCCTGCAGCGGGCGGCCACTGGGGAGGGAGGGAGGGAGGAGAAGGGAAGGACAGCCTGGTGAGGGCTGTGAGTCTGCTTTTGGGGCTGGAGCGGAGAACTTCAGCACGGCCCTCACCGCTCCAGCGGCCGATGCAGCCTCTTCCACTGCGGGTACGAGGATTTGGGCTCCGTGCCACCTCCCGTCATCCGTGCCTGTTTGGCCGTCTGGGCTGAGCGCGTGTCGATGATGAAGCCCCGCTCGCCCTCGTCCAGCACCGACCCCAGCAGCATCTCATCCTCGGGGCAGCGCTTGCGGTTGGGGCCGGTCAGCGGCTGCCCGCTGCGGAGCATCACCTGCGGGGAGGGGGCTGCGGGAATCGCCTGCGGGGATCGGGGTGGGAGGCGCGGGGATGGGGCGGGGATGCGGACTCACGGTGCCGTTCCTGGTGTGATAGTAGCTGAGGACGGGGAAGCGCCCGCCCTGCCGGAACCGGGCTGCCCTCCGCAGGGTCTCCTCACTCACCGCCGCCGGCACGATGACGGCCGGAGGGTACGTGGGGCAGACGGCGAAGTCCTGGTTCACGTCACTCAGCCGCCACTGGGTGGTCTGGGGGAGATGTGAGGGTGGGCTGCCTCCCCCCGCACCCCCGCCAGGTGTAAAGGACCAATCCCGTCACCCCCCCCTCCCCTTACGGGTGGGACGTGACACCACCCCCCTCCCCCCAAGGCCCACCTGCGTGGCGATTTGCTGGAAGTGCTGCTCCACGGGGAGCCGCGGCCACCCCTCCTCCAGCCGCAGGCTCTGAGGCCGGTGGAAGAAGGGATACATCATCATCACGGAGTCCACCGAGGAGAGGGCCTGCAGCACAGCAGAGCAGAGCTGGGGGAAGGCTGGGAATGTCCTCTCTGCAAACCCCATCCTTGCTTCCTCCCACGAGGTTTGGCGGCTCGGGTGCCCCATGCAAACACAGCCCAGCGGCTGAGTGTTTACCCACGTTAATGGCAGACCCAGAGCAAACACCGTGGCAGCCACCTGCTCCTGCCAACCCTTTGCATCCCGGCACGGCTCACCTCGATGGAGCTGGCAATGTTCAGGCACTCCTCCATGCCCGGGATCTCCAGCTGCAGCACCTTCAGGTCCTTGCAGCGCAGTGTGATGGTGCCGGAGGAGCCGGCCAGCCTGGGGAGGGCAGCGGGGTCAGGGCAGGAGGGGCCGTGCATGCAGGCAGCACGGAGCTGCCCTCTGTCCGGGGGGGGCTGAGAAAGGCACAGCACTGTGCGGGGCTCCCGGTGTGTCTGAAGCTGTGACTCCCACCAGCTCCCCTCCGAGCAGCCATCCTTGCCCCACAGAGCTGCGTGAGGCCGGGCGCTGCCGGGCAAGCCGGAGAAGCTGAGAGCACCTAAAGCCAAACCTGTTGTCCCGCGGGGAGCCGCTGCTGCGGGGTGGCTGATACCAGCCTACATTCTGCACTCTGGGGCACGGAGGAGAAGAGGAGGTCAATGCCCACTGCCACGAGCACGGGGAAGAGGAGGGAGGAGGCTCTGCGGCGCCGGGAGGGCGGCGGGGAATCACCCCCACCGAGGACGGGACGAAGAGGGGGCACAGGGCGGTGGGAAAGGACCGACCTCTTCTCCACGGCGTCCACGTTGCGGATGAGCAGCCAGAGCTCCACGGCGCTGGGCTGCCCTTCGCCGCCGGGGCAGGAGGAGAGCAGCAGGTGGTGGCTGGTGATGCACAGGGTGCCTTTCACCGCCGGCTGCCCCGCGCACGACAGCAGCACGCTCTCCACCGTCGCCGTTTTGATCAGCTCGGAGAACTCCATGGCGGTGCTGGAGGGAGAAAACAGAAATCCTGAGCGGCACAGCCCGGCTGGAATCCCCCCACCCCCCCGTCCTTCCCCGCAGTGCAGCCTCCCCCGTCCCGTTCGCGTCGTCACCTAAAGCCTATGCCGCTTCCTCCCTGCAGAGCTGCGCTGGTTTCCTCCCCGGCACTGCTGTCACCGCAGTGGGGAAACTGAGGCACAGACCCGCGGGGCTCGGGGGGCTGTGGGTGCCGGGACGCCGCGCCCGGTGCGGGCTGGGGGGTCGGGGGGCACTCGGGGTTGGTTTGGGGCGGCCGCCGCCTCACATCGGCTCTGTTCTGCAGGGCGGGAGGAGGAGGAGGAAGAGGGGAGAAAGAGGAGGAGGAAGGGAGGAGGAGGAGGAGGGGGGGGGGGGGGGGGGGGGAGCGGCTCGCACGGTGCCTCCAACCCCCCCCCACCCCGGCCCGTGGATCCGCGGCTCCGGGGGGCGACGGGCGCGGGGCAAACGGGGGGCACGCGGGGTGCGGGGCCGCGCAGGAGCGGAGCCGCGGGGGGGCGGGTTAAGGTGGCCCCGCCGGTGGATGCGGAGCGGGGGAGTGAATAAAGAGATACGGGGAGGGGCCGCAGCGGGTTTGCAGCCCCGCGCTGGGAGCAAACGGGGCCGTGCGGGGCCACGGGACGGCAGCGGGGGTCGAGGGGCTCCGAGCCGCGCTCTGCCCGCCGGGTCGCCGCACCCCCGGGTTCCACCTTAAGGCCCGCAGCGCACCGCCGTCCCGCAGCTGTCGGCGCCCACCGCCACCGCGCGGCCCCCGCACTCCGCCCCGTCGGCACGCGGAGCTGCTCGCTTCGCTTCCTTCGCCCTTTTTCTAGCAGCCCCGGGCCCGGACGGGAAGTCGGTTTGTCACGCAGCGCCGATAGCGGGAGGGCATCGCCCGGCGCTGCAACACCGCGTCCTCACCGCGCTTCCTCCGGAGGACACGGAGCCGCCTCCCAACCGGAGACAGCAGTGCTCAAAAAGGAAAGAAAAGGGGGAAAAAAAAAAAAAAAAACCAACAAAAAACAACTTCTTTGCACTCCTCTGGATAAGCCAAGTTCCTGCCCGTTATAATTATCCCCAACCTTTATTGTTCTGGGGGTAGATAAATAGGCGGCACTCGGCGCAGCTGCAGTGGGTGTTCTTTGCCCTGCTGGGTGTGCTGGGCTCTGGGATTTGGGATCCGAGGTCCGGGAGCTGGAATTGGAGATTTGGGAGCTGGAATTGGAGGTTTGGGATCTCGGGTTTGGGATCTGGGCTGCAGTCATGCCCCTGGGCCAGGTGAATTTCTCTGAGCTGGGTGCAGAGGAGCCGGCCGCAGGAGAGGAGAGCCTGGCCGGGGTCAAGGCACTGACGGCCAAACTGAAGCTGCAGACCCGCCGCCCTTCCTACCTGGAGTGGGAGGCACGGGTGCGGGGGCAGCCCTGGGGCAGGCCGACCCCACGGGGGGCAAAAGGAACCTCGGGGCAGCCCAGGGCTGAGCAGGATGGCAGCGTCTGTGGGTTCCCTGGTATGGAGGAGGCTCTGGAGTGGCTCAGGACGGAGCTGGTGAGTAATGCTGAGGGGCACGGAGGGATGGTGCCTGACCCCACAAGGGAACCACTGGGGCTGCTCCCAATGCAGCTCGGAGCTCTGCTCCTGCACCAGCACGGCCACTGGCTGTGGGGTTTTGCCTGGTGCTGCAGCTCTGACCTTCTGCCCTGCCCAGAGCTGTGGGTTGTGGCTCTGTACTTGTCACCCCTTCCTGCTGCTCTGTGCAGGCAGCAACAGCCTCATGGGTGCAAACCTACCTGAGCAGATCGCAGTCCCCATGTTGGCTGTGCTGCACACGTGGGCTCTGTGCTGATCCCAGCACCACGTATTCCTGATTCCCTGAGAGTTTGTCACCGAGCCCTGCTGCTACAGCAGCCCTGCTGGAGCTGAGCCTCTGTCGGCTGCTGACAGCTCCATTCCCCCACAGCAGGAGCTGCAGGCTGCAGACCAACGCCTGGCACAGCAGCTGATGCGCCTGCGGGCACAGCTGAACCGGCTGAAGGTGGAGCAGGTCTGCCACCGGCACAAGGAGATGCTGGACGATGCCACCTTCGGCCTCGAGGGCTGCGAGGAGGACTCGGATCTGCTCTGCACCATCCCACCCAAGGCCGCCTTCCTGCTCTCCATGCCGCTCAAACACATCGGTGTCACCCGCATGAACATCAACTCCCGGCGCTTCTCCCTCTGCTGAGTGCAGCAGGGCCCCGCGGGCACCCATGGGTGCACCTGGGAGTTGAGAGGGGCTCATAGGTGCCCCAAAGTGCTGCAGGGGCATCAGCTCGGGGTTGAGCTCCCTCGTGTTTGTGCCACGGGAAATGTGCCATCCCCAAGGAGCAGCTGTGTGTGGTGGGGGTCAGACACGGGAGGATGTGGGGAGCAGCACTCGGAGGAGGAATAAAAGCAGGTGATGATGAGGAGGAGCACTTCCTGCTGTGCACAGCCTGGTGCCTGCCTGCGCCTCCAGCAGTGCTTCCAACCCCTTGGGGTGCCAGGAGGGCACCCACTCCCAGCTCTGCCCCGTGGGCTGGTTTTCTCAATGGTTTCTGCTTTGGGATGGATCCGTACTGGGGAAAAAAGGTCTCTGCTGTGAGGAACCCACTGCCAGCCCCTCCCCACGCTCCCGGCCGCGGTGGGTGCTGGGGCTGCACTGCTGCAGGAAGTGCTCGTTGCCAACAGCTGCGTGGGTCGTGGGGCCTGGAGGTGCTGGGGGCTGTGCTCAGTGCTCAGCAGCCCTGCACTGCCCCACTCCCACCCTGGTGCAGGAGGGGCTGGGGGCTCTACCTATGGCTATCCTTGCTGCAGGGATTTGCTTTTCCATTTTTTTCCCTTCCCCTGTTCGTGCCAAACCCTTTGCCAAAGGAGCTGCCACTCTTAGTGTGTGACAGAGCACATTTTGCAAGCACTGCCCAGGGGAGATACAGGGTGATCCAGGAAGCTGTGGGATCAAGGGACCATTCTGGGTTCTGGGATACCAGGAGGGAACAGGGAGAGCTGCACGAGCCCTCGAGCCTGCGGCACATGGCAAGGCTGGCAGTGAGCCCTTGCCCAGGGACACCCATGGTGCTGGGGAACGCGCTGGGCGTGGGGCTGAGGAATGTCCCCATAAGGATGGGTGCAGCACTCGGTGCCCCCCGGCACAGCTTGGCGTTCTGCCTGCGCCACTGCAGAGCAGCTGGTGGGAACCTGCGGCTTTGCCTTTGATCATGAAAGCCAAGACAATAGCGCTGTGGTTGCTCTGCTCAGAGCTGTCTCCAAAAACCCAGCGCTGGCGGCGCAGCACAGCCTGGGCACAAGGCATCCCCTCCAGTCTGTCCCCATTTCAGCTGTCGCTGTGGTTCTTGGGGGACTGAGGCTTGGGGGTGTAGTGGTGATGGCCAAAGCAGGGCTGTGGGTGCAGGAGGTGTCACACAGCCCAACAGGGTCTGGCGGGGTACGGCACAACCGGAGCTGCCACTGCGATCCCACAGCACTGAGCTTTGGGAAGGGGGCTGTAAAGGGACCGGGGGGCTTTGCAGCCCTTTGGGTGACAGCGTCGCACCCATCGCTGCCCCCACACAGCACACGGCCCATTGTGTGCCCCCACTCCACCCCAGCCAAGGGGCTCGGTGCCCCCAAACCCACCCGATCCCAGGGCTGAGGGCACCTGGAGCAGGACCCAATGCACAGCCCAGCTGGGGATGGCAGGAAGCCTCAGAGTTTGTCACCAGTGCTTGCGGTTGTGCGCGAGCTGTGAACCAGCTCCTCTAGAGTTTGCTCAGGAGGCAGGAAACCAGGGCAGGCAGCGAGCAAGAGCGAACAGCGGTGGGGAGTGCGCCCGTGTGCGGGGGGCTCGGCTGCACTGCCGTGGGTCAGCGTGAGCCCACGGCCATGGGGAGGACGTGAAACGGGACCATCACTGCTGCACAGCCATGGGAGTCTGAGAGAGCTGGTCCTCATTGTGCTGCCCACAGGTAACGGGGTCGGGATGGAGCTCTGCAGCCAGCACTGCTGGGCAGGTGCACGTTGTGCTCACTGATGGTGCTCTGCCGATGGGTGGGAGTGGGGGCTCACCGCAGTGGGGCTGGGAGTGATGGTGCTTGGGCAGCTGGGAGGCACAGATGGGAGCTCCCTGTACTGGGGGATAGCAGCCACTCTGAGGCCAGGGCAGCCGGTCCCTGTTTGCGGGGCAAAGCGGCAGATTTGTGCCAGGCCTTCACCCGTCTGTGGATGAGAGCAGTTCAGTGCTGGTCCATCAGCATCCCATCGCAGATGGTTTCAAGCACTGAGATGTGTCCGGTTTCGGTGCTGTTTTGGTGCAAACATCTCCGTGCCGTGATGGCGGCGTGGCGCGGCTCTGCCCTGCTGGCTCTGCACGGTGTCCATCTGGATCGCATGGGGACAGGAATGGGGTCAGCCCAACCTCAGCCCCGCTCACACACTGACCAACCAACAACAGCCAGAGGTGCTCATGCGGAAGGGCCTGCAGGAGCAGCAAGAGCAAGTGTGACAGCTGTGCAACGCAGCCCCGTGCTGGGAGCACTGCGAGGTGTGTGCACATTGCTTGCACGCAGCCTTCGTGCAGAAATTCGTTTGCACAGATGCAGTCACAAAACCTGACTTCAAACGCTCTGATGCAGCGCGGCCCTCGCACTGAGCAGGTGGAACGGTTGCTTGGTGGAAATTATGCTGTGGCTTGAGTACATCAGAGAAAAAGACACAATAGCAGCACCTCCCTCCGCACCCCGGCTTCTTGCAGAGAGGAAAAAACACGTCCCAGGTCCCTCTGCTGCGGTGGATGTGCATTTGAAGTGCCACAGGCATTCTGGGAGCATGGAGGCTCTGTGTCTGTGGAGCTGGGTTTTGCTCAGCTCTGAGCTTTGTCCCCATGGTGCCATTGCTGTCCCCGCTCCCTGGGGCCATGGCCGAGCTGCTCCAGGAGCATTCTCAAAGCAGAGCGGCAGAAGCGGGGCACCAGGGCCCAAATCGTGGCACAGGGGGCTCAGCCGCCCTCCCCTCCCACAGCCTCTGCTCCCATCGGCCGTGGTGGCGGTGGGCACTCTGAGGTGGCACCTTGGGGACAGCAGGAGGGCAGCACTGCCATTGCGGCGCTGTCCCCACTGTGGGGTGATGAGCGTGCTGTGCTCCCAGTTCTGTGCATGGGTTTGGGGTGTGCTCAGTGGCTGAAGGGTCAGGTGGCACCCAGGGGACACCACATCCCCCCGAGATGAAGATGACAGAGGAAAAAAGAGTGACACCGATAAAGAGATAATCACTGCCAGCAAGGCAGAAATGCGTGGGGCACTGTGAGCACAGGCTGGAGACACGGGTTGGGGCCGTGCCTGCGTGGGGACGGATCCTGGTGGCGTGGGTGTGGGGATTCTGCAGAAAAGCATTTTCCAGGGCTGTGGGCCACTGTTTGCGTGTCTCAGCACCGGGGCTTCATCAGCTTTTGTGGGAAGGTTAGAGCCACGCAATGGGAAGAAGGCTCCTTCCACCCACTTGTGGCACCAGGGCTGGTGCTTGAGGTGGGTGTCCTGGCACTCATCACCTTCTGTGCTTTTAATTAACGCAGCCAGGACAAAGGCAGGAGGAAATATGGCTGGTGATGGAGTCAGGGGATACCCTACAGAGTGTGCAGGAAGGACTGTGTGATGGGACAAGTAAGAGAGATGGATGGATGGATGGATGGACGGACGGACGGATGGATGGATGGGCTAAATGGGATGAATGAATGGCTGCAGAGATGAGGTGGATAAATGTGGGGATGATGGGGTCGGGGGGGGGATGAAGGCTTCTCTCACTGCCCTCCATAGCCACCATGGGCTGCTGCTGCAGCTCAGACTATGACGAGGACTGGATTGAGAACATCGACATCTGCGAGCACTGCAACTACCCCATTGATCCCGACAGCAAGCGCCAGGTGAGGGGGCAGCCACAGGACAGCCGGGGGTGGTGTGGGATGGCCAAGCCCTTGGTGGCACGAGGGGATGTGGGGACTGCACTCATGTGCCCCCCCACTCCCTCAAAGCAGCTGATCCGCAATGGCTCTGAGGTGCGGGATCCCCTGGTGTCCTACGAGGCCACGTCTCCGCCGTGCTCCCCGCTGCAAGGTACAGCCCGGCCACGGGGGGGGCTGCTGGGTGTGCCCCATGGCCACCTCCACCCCGACCCTGCGCTCTCCCCAGACAAGCTCGTGGTGGCCCTGTATGACTATGAGCCCACTCATGACGGGGACCTGGGACTTAAGCAGGGCGAGAAGCTGCGCGTCCTGGAAGAGTGAGCACTGACAATGTCCCCATGCCCCCATGTCCCTTGGCCAGGGGGCCCGGCTCAGAGGGGCTCACAGGGCTGTGTCCTTGCAGGAGCGGGGAGTGGTGGAAGGCGCAGTCGCTCACCACGGGCCAGGAGGGTTTGATCCCACACAACTTCGTGGCCATGGTGAACAGCCTGGAGCCGGAGCCGTGAGTAGAGCCGAGGGGCTGCAGGGAGCCGTGCCAGAGCAGCAGGAAGATATGAGAGCCCCCAGCCCTCACCCTGCCCCTTGTCCTCAGGTGGTTCTTCAAGAACCTCAGCCGCAAGGACGCAGAGCGGCAGCTGCTGGCCTCGGGCAACACGCATGGCTCCTTCCTCATCCGGGAGAGCGAGACCTCCAAAGGTATCGCTGCCAGCCCCAACGGCTCCTCCTGCACTGCAGTGTGCACAGAGAGCCGCGACCCAACAACCCTGCGCACTTCCCCCAGGCTCCTACTCGCTGTCAGTGAGGGACTTCGACCAGAACCAGGGCGAGACAGTGAAGCACTACAAGATTCGCAACATGGACAACGGCGGGTACTACATCTCTCCCCGGGTCACCTTCAGCAGCCTGCACGAGCTGGTGGAGTATTACTCAAGTACGCACCGTCAGCAGCCGGTCCTGCCTGCAGGATGGATACGGGGATGGGATGGGGGGGAGGAGGACACCCCGCTACCTGCGCCCAGGTGCGGTTCATGCCGGGCTCCCCACGCACACTGACACCGGCTCTGCCTCCCCCGTGCCGCAGGAAGCTCGGATGGGCTGTGCACCCGGCTCGGCAAGCCCTGCCGGACGCAGAAGCCGCAGAAGCCGTGGTGGCAGGATGAGTGGGAGGTGCCGCGAGAGTCACTGAAGCTGGTGGAGAAGCTGGGAGCCGGGCAGTTTGGAGAAGTCTGGATGGGTGAGTCAGGGTGAAAGTGGGGTGCTTCCTCCTGGGTGAGGGCACTGCTGTGCGCAGTGTCAGCCCAGACCCACAGCATCCTCTGGTCAAAGAGCAGCCAGGCCAGCACAAATCCTGTGCAACTTTGGCTTTTTACAAGGATCTTCTTCATGCAGTTTTAGGTTGGGATGCTCTAGATGCAGCCCTCTCCCCTGCCTCCTCCACCACCCCACCATGTTACTGCCCCCATACGTGCTCACTGTGGGTCCTTCTCCTCCTTCGCAAGCTGCTCCATCTCCCCGCAGGTTTCTACAACGGACACACCAAGGTAGCCATCAAGAACCTGAAGCAGGGCAGCATGTCCCCCAGCGCCTTCCTGGCAGAGGCCAACCTGATGAAGAACCTGCAGCACCCGCGGCTGGTGCGGCTCTATGCCGTGGTGACCAAGGAGCCCATCTACATCATCACAGAGTACATGGAGAAGGGTGAGGGCATCCGGGTAGAATAACTGAATCATCCAGGCTAGAGAATACTTCTAAGAGAACCGAGTCCAACCCCAACCCATGCCCATCATGCCCACTAACCACATCCCTCACTGCCTCATCTCCATAGTGCTTGAGCACCTCCAGGGATGGTGACCCCACCACTTCCATTGGCCTGTGCCAATATCTGGCTGCAATAGTGACACCTGCACCACGACACTGAGACCCTGGGGTCAGCCCTAGTGGGACAGGGAGCTGGCAGGCAGTGTGATCTCCTGCCTCCCCTCACGCCCCCCAGCGTCCCATGCTGGGTGTTACCCCGGGGCTCACTGAGACTTGCTGCCTTCACTGCAGGCAGCCTGGTGGACTTCCTCAAGACCTCAGAGGGCATCAAGCTCAGCATCAACAAACTGCTGGACATGGCTGCACAGGTGAGGGGCACAGGGACACAGCGGGGGGCTGCTGGGGCTTTCCCACTCCACCTATTAAGTGTGATTATTATGGTTATTTTGATCTGCAGATTGCCGAAGGCATGGCCTTCATCGAAGCCAAGAACTACATCCACCGTGACCTGCGGGCTGCCAACATCCTCGTGTCGGAGACTCTGTGCTGCAAAATCGCTGACTTCGGGCTGGCGCGCCTCATTGAGGACAATGAATACACAGCACGAGAAGGTGCGTCCATCCTGCTGGCAGCCTGCCTGCCCCACCCGCCCCGAATCACTGACCCCACTGACAGGAGGGCTGCCAGAACCCACCCAGCCCTGCTGCTGGTGGGGTCACAGCCCTATCTGGTGGCTGCGGCAGGAACAGGCACGCGGTGCCAAACCCAGCTCCTTCCCAGTGTGCAGCAAGGACAAAGGCTCGCTGTGCTGTCACATCAGGTTCAACAGAGAGGGATGACCCGTAATGCTTATTCTTCCCCTCCCGCTGTTTTTCAGGGGCTAAATTCCCCATTAAGTGGACGGCCCCGGAGGCTATTAATTATGGCACGTTCACCATCAAGTCTGATGTCTGGTCCTTCGGCATCCTGCTCACCGAGATCGTTACCTACGGCCGGATCCCGTATCCAGGTCAGGATTTCCCAGCAGCTGCACGGCAGCAGGGCTCACACACACGCAGGCGCACACCCACCCGTGTGTGCATGCACTCCTGCACGCACACACGCTCCGCCTGGCCCCGCTGCCTGCCAGCCCGCAATGGTTCTGAGCCCTTCTCATCGCACGTGGCCAGCCGGGCCCAAAGCCCACAGCGGGTGGGGGGGTCCCAGAGGCTGAGGCTGGGGGGGCGGAGGAAGGTTTCCTACGGGGTTCACAAAGGCAGAGCGCTCCCCGCAAGTCGGGCCGACGCGAACTCGGTGCCACTCATGCCGTCCCCTCGCAGGGATGACCAACCCCGAGGTGATCCAGAACCTGGAGCGCGGCTACCGCATGCCGCAGCCAGACAACTGCCCGCGGGAGCTGTACGAACTGATGATGCAGTGCTGGAAGGAGCAGCCCGAGGAGCGGCCCACCTTCGAGTACATGAAGAGCGTGCTGGAGGACTTCTTCACCGCCACCGAGGGACAGTACCAGCAGCAGCCGTGAGGCCCCACGCCGGGCTCCCACTGACTCCACTTGCATCCCATGAGCACCGCCCGGCGTGAGGACGTCGTGCTTCCCAAAGAGCTTTGCCCCCAGCGGTGAATCCCGACCGCCGTGCCCACGGCCGTCAGCTCCTCGCCCCGCGCACAGCACGGAGCTCCCGGCCCTCACGGCCTGCGCCGGGCTGCAGCAGCGGCCGCGGCCCCGTCACGCAGGGCCTCAGGCAGGGCTCAAGCCCTCAGATGGCGGCCAACGGACCCGAGGCCCACAGGCTGGGGTCGCTGCCAACGGGCCCGGCTCTGCCTGCTGCCAGCCTCTCCCTGCTGCCAGGCTCTCCTGTCCGCTGTGGGGCAGGAAAGGCCTCGGACCCGGCGCGGCCCGCAGCCCCACACGGACCAGGCCGCAGCTCGCTCCCCGCCCTGCTGCCGCCCGCACTCGACGCCCCGCCCGCCCCAGGCGCTGCGAAGCCCCGTGCCGCGCCCCCCCCCCGGCACGTTGGGAATGGTTCGGCCCCACCTGTTTCCTCCCCCCCCCCCTCGCAGAATGGTTCCGCCCCGCCCACCTGGCCCCGCGCCCCGCGGTGGTGCAGCCCGCCGCTCCGCCTAGCCTGCTGGCTCCGCCGCCTCGACTCCTCATTGGCCGGCGGGATGGATGGGGTGGAGAGCCGCGTTTCTATTGGCCGTCGGGCCGCGTGGGGCGGGGCGGTGGGGGCCCGGCCGGTGGGGCGGGTTGCGTTGCGCTGCGCGGCGGTAGGGTCTGCGGCCGTGGGGAGGCAGGAAAATGGCGCTGACGCAGGGGACCAAGCGGAAAGTCTGCTACTACTACGATGGTGCGGGGCGGTGGGGAGCGGGATGAGGGGGGCTGCGGGGGGGACGGGAAGGAGCTCGGGGTAATGGTTTGTGTGAGATGGGGGCTGGGCTGGGGGGGTAGGGGCAGAGGGGTCTGTGTGAGCGGGGGTCTGCAGGCGGCGCTGGGCCGTGGGGTGGGGGGAGGGGCGGCGCTGGGGGCTGCGGGGAGCGGGGGGGGGGAG